AATCGTATTCATAATGCTTGAGAACCAGGGAGTAAGGAATAGAAGGGAGATATAACTGACGCGGTTCGCCCTACCATATGATTATACAAGCTTTGCAGACGGTACTTCATTTGTATAAGAAGTATTTGTCTGATGTACATTTACTGCGTATACAATAACCTATTCTGAATATTTCATATACAAATGGAGTACTCGTCTGCAAAGCATGTATAATCATATGGTAGGGCGAACCGCGTCAGTTATATCTCCCTTCTATTCCTTACTCCCTGGATGGTGCTGATTGCACATTTTCTCAAGACCTCAAATTTCTACCTGCCAGCGTATCTATATATATATTATCTTTCATTTTATCAGAGTTTCAACCTTTATTCTACACAACTCCCTCTTGCATATTTTCAATCTACAAAAATCTGCTACCTTTATTCTACGTGGTTTAATCATTTAATTTTCAATCTACAAAATACATCCTTTGTCAAGATATCATTACAAAAATTATAAGAAGAAGCAATTTGTTAAGTTAAGTTCGTTTGGGTTTTTAAACCTTTATATTGTTTTAAAAATGATGAAATCAAAATACACTAATGCATCATTAATTATGATTTTGTGTCCCTGTTGATTTGAATTAAACTGCTGGACTTGACCAGTGAACTGAGGCTGTTTTTTAATTCAAAATTAATGTTATAACAAGGTTTTTTGAGGTTTGGCCAAAAAAAAGGAAAGGGAAAGTAAAGTGGGCCTGGATGAGGGGAGAAATCGTTTAAATAAAGAGGACACTTCGAAAACTGCTTAAACTCGGAATTTATTCTGGATTTTTGAGCGACTTAAGTCTTTCCCCCCTCCCCCCAATACTTGAAATAATCTCTAGATTGTTCAGCAGATTCAACCATCCAGCATCTCAGACCCTTCAGCTTATAACTTAAAATTTCCCTCTCATATTTTAATTTAACATTAAACTTTTTGTTTACAGGATCTAATATTTTGATTATGATTTCAACAGTGACGCTGACATTAGAGTTTCCTGAGAATAAATTAACGAACAAATTATTAATTTAATCCTGATGAACATTAACTTTCCTTGTGCATGTTGCTTTTTTTTCACAAAAATTTAAAATAGTAAAAATTAAAAATAATTTTAAATTACTAAAAAAAAATACTAAAAACTTTTTGGCGGACTGGGCTCCTTAAAGGGACTCTTAAGGAAAAATGAAAGGGGGTATAGGATAAAACCTGAGAATCTCAGGTGTTGAACGATACATATAAGACATCATCTATCTGATGTTCCTCTCTTGAGAAATTGATATAAAACTGTGTCAAAATTATACGAAAATCTATATATATTAAATTTTGTAAAAAAGTAGTAGCTTTAAATAGATCATTTTCAGCAAATACGCACACAATCTGAAAACGATTATATCCCACAGAAACCTGAGAGTCTCAGGTTTGCTCCAATTATAAATTTTTTTTAGTTTTAATTTTTAAAATATATAATTGATAATATCATTTATAAGTCCGTCTTACGTCACAAGAACTCCCGCCAATGAGAGTGCAGTAAACTGGTGACGTGATACAGACGGAAATCACGTTGACCAGTATACTGCACTGCCATTGGCTGAAGTTCTGTTGACGTAATACGGACTATATGGAATATATGAAATAATATTATCAATTATATTAATTAAAAATACAAGATAAAAAATTAAATGATTATAACAGGAGCAAACATTAGATTCTCAGGTTTCTGTGGCATATTGTCGTTTTCAGATTGGTTTCGTATTTGTGGAATATGATCTGTTTTATAATACAACTTTTATACAAAATTGCATATTTATGAATTTTCGTATAAATTTGACACAGGTTTATATCAATTTCTCGAGACAGAAACATCAGATAGATGTTTTATATGTATCGTTCAACGCCTGAGATTCTTAGGTTTCATACTATACCCCCTTTCAATTTTCCTTTACATTCCCTTTAAAAAAAAATGATTATTAAAAAAATTAAATATTAATGCTAATAAGAAACAAAATGAAAATTTCAATAACTGCATTGCTAAAGAACACATACCAAATTCAAAGTTTATATTTGAGAATAAATTGTATTAGTAAAAGGTTTTAGTTTTTGTTAAACTAATTAAAACAAATCACAATTGAGAGCTTGATAAAAACCTGTCGAATCTTTAAGAATTTTAACCAACTTCAAATATGTAAATTTAAATTTTAAAGACATGATTTGACAAATTTTGTATTGACTGAATTTATTGTTTTTAAAGGCATTTCTTAGTTTTCATGGTAAATTTGTCTCACTCATACTGCATGTACCGGATTTAATTTGTCTGTGGTACATAAATCAGTGCAATGTACTTAAGAAAAGCTTTAGCTTTAAAGGACTGTAAGCGTAATTTCAAGTGGTCTTCCAGGAAAAGATGGCAATACCATATTTACAACGGTACGCATGAAACTTTAATCTGATCAAAAATGTAGTTTTATGACTCGAGAAGTAATTAATATTCATAATTTCTCCATTGCATACCAATGAACAGTTTAAAGATATAGATAATTCATACTTGATCAGACAAAGCTTTTAAGGGTACCGTTGTGAATCAGGCATTGTCATCTTTGCATAGAGATTGGAAGGTCACTTGAAATTACGCTTACGGCCCCTTAAAGTAAATCATTCCAATTGAGAATAATTTATGCAACATGCCATTAAAGAGAGTGTTCACGTAAAATTAAAGGGGGATAAATAAAATGCCCCCAATTTTTTAAAAAAATGCCCCCAGTTGAAATTTTTTTTTCAAATTCCACTAACACATTTGCCCAATTGCCCCCAATTTTTTTAAAAAATGCCCCCAATTTTTAAAAAAAATGCCCCCAATTTTATTTTTAATTATCATATAAAAAAAATTTGCCCCCAATAAAAGTATTTGCCCCCATTTCTTTCAAATTTGTCAATCCCAAATGGGATTGAAAAAGGAATTATATTGCCCCCTGTTTCTTTCCTATTTGCAATAAACATTCCAAATTGAATTCGGGTCACTCATACTTAGATTTATATTAAAAAATATTAGTTCTTTTCTGTAGGACATACTACGACCGCTAGATGTCTCCAACTAGAATTTCAAGCAATTTATGCTGAATTTCACTAGAATATGTGCTGTAGAGTAGGAATGTGCTTTTTATATTTTTCTCAGGACTCAACCATTAGATGGAAAACAGCATTATTTCAAATTCAATTCTGGTTCACCCTATACACCTTTCTTTTTTGGCGAACACTCTCTAAGCTTAACTGGAAACTTTTAAATAGAAGAAATGAGTTAAACTTTACAAGATGGAGATAAGCTCATTGGAGGAACGAAAACTAGACAAATAAGAAATCCGCTAATCTCTTTGTGGGAAGAAAATAATAAAACTGGTTTCGTGCATTTAAAGTTTCTAGCTTTGAATATTTCTTTTCAATTTAGAAAAAAGATAGATTATCAAAAGATTTGCGTGAAAATTGCCATCTTCACGAATTGAAGCTATTCACAATACAAGTGCGAGTGCAAAGCTACGATAAGAAAATGTTTAAGATCGAAAATTCAACCACCACAGACCTTTTTTTAAATTAGTCAAGTTCATATTTTGTTACTTAACAGATTTTAACTCAAAATAATATTGAGAGCCCAGTATTTTCATAATTTAAGTGTTCAAGGGACTGTCGGTGTAGTTAACTTTAAGTACATTCAGCTCATTTAAAAACTTATTTACTCTTAGAAAGTTTAGAATCAATGTAAATGTAAACCGCCTCGAGATTCGGTAATAACCCCGAGGGTGTAGCCCGATGAGTTATCATTAAATCCCGAAGGGGTTGGATTGATTCTAATTTATGCATAGAGTGGGAAGTCAAAATCAAAATTGCACCTTTTAACCCGTGAAATATACCGTCGCTATTTAATCTTAAAGCATATGGTATACTGATGCTTTGTTTTCAGTTGCTATAAAGAACGCAATTAAAAATAATCAATTTTAAAAGAGGGACACCTAAGTCATTCTTGAGCAGGCAAAGTTGTGTGTATCAAACATACACCTATTTAGATGGAATTACGTAAACTGCCCCTTTAATAATTTATTCCAATTTTAAGTTTTCGAAAAAACAAATTTGGTTTATTTTCTGAAAAAAATACTGGTCTGGAATTGAGAATACGAGAAACTTAAAAGGGACTGTACGCGTAAATTCAAGGGTCCCTCCATGGAAAAATGACGATACCCGATTTACAACGCGCGGGAATCTTGAAAATGTAGAAGATAGTGAGATACCCTTTTTTCTGATAATTGCTTTTTTTGAAATGCACAAGTCACTTTTGCAGAGAATCCGCAAAAAAACAAAAACAATTTAAATTAACAAAATAATACTTGATCAAAGCTTTACTGTTGTAAAGTGGACATTACCCTCTTTGCATCGACACTGGAAGGTCATTAAAAATTACGCTTACAGTCCTATTAGACCATTTCAACATTTTCTTAATCTTAAATCTTAAATAATAATAGGTTTGCGGGACTAGGTGCAGATACAAGGACAACATGTATGGTGCTCAGCGTACATTTTAACATTTGTACATGATAACCTGTTTTGAAACTGATATAAAACTAGTTGGACTAGAATAAGTTTGAAACCCGCCTAATAAGTCTCCAATATTTGCCTAAAACGTGAAAGAGTTTCCTAACATTCTTTATACAGTATACACCCCAAGAGTTTTAAATCTTCCTAAATTTAAGTCAAAATAAAATCAGATCCTCCCCTGATATTTTTTTTTGATTCGTGAGTGATTGATTTTTTTTTTATGTAAATACAAGAAAAAATTAAGACCGTTTTTTTTTGTAATTAACTTTAAGAGAAGGTGAGACACATTTGAACAATTGAAAAAAAATAACAAACGAAGAACCCCTATATGATATTTGTTTAGCCGAAAAATAATTTACGCCCCTCTTTTTATGTCAGAATAATGTTTTGCTTCGCGCAAAATATAGAGACAGAGGGGGAGGGGGGAACTTTGTCAACAAAATTATAACCCCCCTGGTGAGATACTTACATCCCCCCACTCCTGCTGGTGCTGTTGTTGAGGGGGTTGAGGTTGAACCTGTTGATGATCTCCAGGTTTAGGACCTGAAACAGATAAAATAGAGAATGATCTGAGCTGGGAACTTTTGAATGGTGGATATCGGGATTAAGGCTTAATCCACTCTTTTTCTTAATCTCCAGATTAACATAATCTTGCAAGATTATCTTAAAAGCGTATGAAAAACGATAAAATTCAAATTAATATTTAATCATCTGAGAAACTGTAGCAGCCAATCAGAGAAAAGCGGGCAACCAATGAGAGAACAGAAATATTCTCATTGGAGAAAACAATTAACGGATGTCCAAGGAGAGAGAAAAAGAGTGGATTAAGGACTAAAATGAAAAGTTTCCACAGTGGATATTCGGATCAAGAAGTCAGGATTTTAAGTTTATCCATTCTAAAGTTTTCAGCTCGGGAAAAAGGAAATTCAAATAATCAAATTAAACATAGTTAGAACCAGGAAACTCTGAAATTCCAAGACGACTTTTAGAATCAAGTTATAATTAAGACACAGCAGTGCAGTGTAAACAGACTCCTATCCCTAAATTAATGTCCAGTAAAACTCTTTGCATTGTTACAACATCAAAAACACTTAAGTATTGCTTTAATATCGTCTTGCTAAACCATTGTTCTCTGGTTATCACTGTAAAGTTTATATATATATCAATACAATTTTTTTTTATTAGAAGTTTCTTGGAAGAGAAAAATTTATAATTAAAATAACACAAAATGTAAATGTAACATAATTTGTCTTTTCATCATACAGTGGTAAGCATACAATTGTGAAATGTTTTTTGTCTTTCTTATTTATTTTTCATGTAAAATTCAAGGCTTTTGATATTAGTTATTACTAATATATTTCTTAAAATGTTTAGAACACCATTTTATAATCATTTCTTAAAATGTTTAGAACACCATTTTATAATCATAACAGTTAAAAACCTTTCATATATATTTATATTAAAAATGAAGGGAAAAAATTTTTTTAGATAAAATGGACTCAAGTGACACTTCATGCAAAGATGGCAATGCCCGATTTACAACATTTATATTAAAAATGAAGGGAAAAAAATTGTTTAGATAAAATGGACTCAAGTGACACTTCATGCAAAGATGGCAATGCCCAATTTACAACATTTATATTAAAAATGAAGGGAAAAAAATTGTTAAGATAAAATGGACTCAAGTGAGACTCCATGCAAAGATGGCAATGCCCGATTTAAAACAAAACCCTTAGCAACTTTTTCTGATAAAGTTTGAATTAGATATCAATGGTTATAATTTAGAAAAATAATTAAATATCTTCAATTGCGCATTTCTACTTCAGGAAATGTATAGAAATTATCAGAACAGTTTTAAACCTAGAAAATTTTGATCAGATTAAAGTTTCGTCTTTGTATGGAGGGGCACTTGAAATTATGTTTTCTAAGATAATATTAAACCTGGAAAGCTCCAAGGATCAGCTGACCATTCTTCAACAGGAGATATTCCTGTTCCACCCAGCTGACCGGGAGCAGGGGTATTATAATCCTGAATAGAGCAGGGGTATTATAATCCTTGATAGAGCAGAGGTATTTTAATCCATAATAGAGCAGGGGTATTATAATCCTTAATAGAGCAGAGGTATTATAATCTATAATAGAGCAGAGGTATTATAATCCTTGATAGATCAGGGGTATTATAATCCGAAGTAGAGCAGGGGTATTATAATCCTTAATGGAGCAGAGGTATTATAATCCTGAATAGAGCAGGGGTATAATAATCCTAAGTAGAGCAGGGGTATTATAATCCTGAATAGATGTATCTAACCTGTGGTAGAGGGGGTGGAGCTATGGCGGGGGGTGCATCAGACCCAAAAGTTTCTTCTACATAAGCCTCTGGAAAAAGTCCAGTTTCTCCACTGAACAAAAAACAGGTTTAAATAAATCATAAAAACTAGATTTGACTGTTTTAAATTTTCGGGAGTCAAAAAGATCATTTGACTAATAACAAAAGTTAAATATTTATTATTGCAAAACATGTTTAATCTCTGAAATGAATTGTGATCATTGGCTATATTTCTATTTGTTTCTGTCGCCATTTCTTTAAAAAAATTTCCAGATTGCTTCATAGGAAACATTACCGCTTTATATGCTAAATAAGGTTTAACTTTAACTATCTATAACTAACATATTGGGATGTTCAATATCTTCTTCTTGGTCCAAGGTTTTCACAAACCTACGAATATCCAAACCAGCGGGGCAGCGGGAAATAAAATTGATTGACATCCATTGGTTTTTATTCACTTGAATACTTTCCAAAGCTGGATATTATTTAATCAATTAGCCCAAGGGACAATTAAGCAACATAAGAAACCGCAAAATAATTTTTTATTAAGAGAGAAATATTTATAACCAGGTTTATCTACAGTTCGGAAAGAATGATGACAACATAATTATTTAAAGTATATAACCTGGAATTTCTACCCTCCCACCAGCCCTCTCCGACATCTGTTCTGGTAATAACAACGATTTCTCCCTCCCTAAATACAGACAAAATAATTTACTGAAAATCCTATAATGTAGAGAGAGCACTGTCATCAAAAGGACAAATTTCTCAATTTCTCAATTTGTCTATTGTCAGTATTAAACATTAAAAAGATTTAAAAGTGTGGTCGGTGTATGTACCAATCAATTATCAAGCAATGTAATGTTATTATCACCATTTCTGTAACAGACACTGTACAGATATATTTGCTGACCACTAATATACATAATATATTCATTAAAGGAATGGTAATTGTAATCTTAGGTTGAACAGGGGATTGTCCGATTCACAACATAGTCTCCAAAATGTCTTATCATTGTAGTAAATAAATGTATCTCATTTAAATCTTTGTAACCTGTAAATATATGTTTCTTTAGTTCATTGACCCAAGTTAGGTCAACTTATATACCTGTAACTTTTAATATATGAATATAGACAGTTAAACACAGACTCCTGTTATGTACGGATTGTGTATACCAGTGTTTGTGACAGATTAAAAGGGACGCATTTATGCTGAGAAGGACAAAGGACCTCCCCCCCCCCCATTTAGTAGTAATTTTGAAATAATTTGTAACCACCTTTAAATATACTTAGAAAGTTAATAATTTGCAAACCCAATATTGGGTAAATTGTCAAAATTAATCACAGGGGGGGGTCCAAAAATCGTATACTAGGATTAGGAAATTACCCCACTTAAATACAAAAGTTAAGGTTTAAAGGGAAAATTTGGCAATAGATTGATTAATCTTACAGAAATCACAGTTTAAACATCTAAGGTCTACATATTGGGTTTAAAAGATAGAAGGAAATTAGAAATTTACAGTTTTTGGTTAAGACTTAATTCCTTCCCGTTGTCATTTTGTTCTTTGTTTCAGATGGATCCAATAGAACTACTGAACTGAACCAAATTTAACCAGATGAAATTACTAACACATGAAAAAACAGTATTTAAACATTTACGATAACATTTCTCAGAGATAATATAAATTCCAGATAAAGTCTTTTATTTTGAAGCACTAAGTTACCTGATAGATATTTCTCCTGTCCCTGACTCTCCATCAAAATCATACAACACTTTCGCCTTTAATCATTAATACATAATAATTAATGACTCATTAAAAAAACAGCCCCCCCTCGCCTCCTAACTATTTTGCATATGACGTCAAATTTAAATTCTTAAAACTAATTTTTTTCCTTCATGGGTTGGGCTACGTTACACAAGACTAATTCAGGACAGAGCATTCATAACGATACCCCCCCTCCATTAAAAAAAATTATTAAAAATACCTGTCGTGTTGCCATTACGAGGAGAATTGAAAACTAATCAATAATTGAGTGAGTCCCCTTCAGATATTTACTATATGAGTCACTTCTTTGTTTTCAACGGAAAATCATGAATATAGTTTTTTTCTGAAAATTTTATTAAAAATACACATTTGTAGCCTTGTCATTCAAAAATAATGGATGTTTTTAACATAAAACGCCTCTTTTTACTAATTTTGGCGTCAAAAATTTGTTCTGTTGATCATACTTTTGTTTGGTTTGGTGCAGCTTTGATAAAATCGCTACAACGACGACATTCTTCAAGATTGACAATATTTTGATGCTACATCGACTGAACTATCGTTATATCTTACAAGTCACCTGATCACAACCCAGTTTAAATTCTTTCTGAACGTTATTTCATAAAAAAAAATCAAAATTTGATGTTTTCTTGATTCAGCAAATTTTTTTTCTGAATACATTTTTAATTGAATTTTTTGATCTTCGGCTGAATGTATGGTATTTGGACATTAGTTCAATTTAACCATTTAAATTAAACATTGTTCCGATATTTGGATAATTTTAATCGAGCAAATTAAAACTATTTTTCTTCCTCCGACTCGACAGCGAATTTTTCAGTTCAGATAGTTCGTAGTGTCAATGATAAGACTCCAAATGCTGAAACATTCTCAGCGGCATTTCTGTAATTTTGCGCTCCAATAATCGAAAGTCTAAATTTCTCAAATTCCCTAATATGTACGTGGCCGGCCTGTTGGTTTGTGTTAAACAAAAAATGCAGTTAAACGATCTCCAAATTTTATCACAATGTATTTATAAAGTTTTTTTTTTAGACAAACAAAACAATATGGGTTAAACTTGTAGTAGGAGGATATACATTATTGATAAGAAAAGTAAATTCTTACAATGGATTCCTACACGGCCAAGTTCCAGTCTATGCAACTCTACGTTCCTTTTCTAAACAAAATGATTTTTAAGGTAAATTTATTTTATCACAATCTTATTTGATGTTTTTTTATCTCTACCTTATTCAACCTCCCGGCCCCGATTATTTCCTAGATAACGATTTTTGAACACCCCCTCCTTCCCCTCCTATCAATTTTTTACATGCAACTCACATTTAACACATTATGGATAAAACCCCCGGAAAACGTTGTTGTATTGAACTCAAGATATATTTAAAAGTAACCCAATGAACACAAAACAGCGATTGTGCATTGACACAGACCAGATCATTGAATATGGATTGAATAGACTATTTTCTTGATTTAATACTTATGAGAGGGCTTAAATATCGTTTTCATTTGCCACTGTAATATTATGAGATTCATTGTAAATATAATCTTAGATCCAGCAGAGTGGAGATAAGGATAAGGAACCCCAGCTGATGAAGATGCGAAGCTTACTGGAGATCCTGATCAATCCACTCAAGAAGGTGATCTCTTTATAACATTGTTTTTACTTAAGTTGAAAAATGTAAGAGAGTATAATTGAGCACCAGAATTAGTCGGTACAACAAATTGGTTAGCAGGGGTTCCAAATGAACCAGGGATTAGGATAAAATGTAGTCACTCGGACCGGTGTCGTGTATGTACAGCCTACCCTGCATGGAAAGCCTACCCCCCTTTTTGTCGTGTATGTACAGCCTACCCTGCATGGAAAGCCTACCTCCCTTTTTGTTTTAATCATTTCAACACAAATTTAGATTAATGCAAATAAAAAGCATGTAAATAAAATGAATTATTGAGGGGGAATACGCTTAAAATGTTTGTTCCTCGCAAATGTCTTCCTTTCAAATTATCAAACAATTATTATTTTTTCGAAACAAAGATAATTTTTGAAGTGTTTGTCCAATCATAATATTTAAATAGATATCGGTTAGTGCCAGAACATTGATTTTCCAGTTATAAAATTATCTAAAAACGGTGTAAACGCCAGGGGGTATGCTCTCCATGCAGGCATGCGCTCTACGCACGACACCCCGGGATTCAAAACTGTATCCTTAGAAGTTGAACTCCTGTTCAGGTTCGGATGGAGACTCTGTTGAAGTGTGAGGAGGTGTTAAAGAAGCTCTACGAGAAGGTCGAGGGGGTTCCCTTTAACAGGTAGGCTACATTTATTTTCTTTGAAATATATACCCCATTTTGGCGTTGATACCCCCCCCCCCCATTATTTTTCCCGTTTACAGAGTTTATTTTGCTGACTTGGGAAAAATAGTTTGAATCTAATTTTTTCCAATCTTTTAATTTCCCTCATAAATCTTCGAGAACGATTTTACCAGGGATATGCAGTTAAAATAATTTTACATGGAAGGAGGGGGGGGGGACATTGAACATCTCAAAGCAAGTTTTATAGCCCTTTTTGATGCTTGTTACCCAAGTAATATATCTAATATCTGGGACAGAATGATTTTAAAAGTGGGTGATGATTTTCGAGTAAATTTGTGCTCTTGTTTTAGTGGAGCAGGGTCCCGTCAAACAAACTTGAACAGAATACAAACCGAAAAACCTCAGCAATCTAGGTATAGTTTATTTATATTTATTTGTATCAGTAAAAAATCAAAAAATCTTATCTATATAATAAAACAAGACATTCGTATATATATATATATGTTGCTTATAGCTGGCCAAACGGCTGGACCGATTGTGCTGAAATTTTTTGTGGACACTCATGGGTGGCCAGGGGGTATTAAAGAATTTAAAAAATTTCTTTTTTGCAGGTCACACAGCCCTGTGCAAGGAATGAAGCAAAATCTCAGGAAAATAAACATAATTTTCATATTCTATAGAAATCCTTGAATTAAATAGGAAAAGAAACAACTAAAAAAAACATTTTCTCTAAATGTCTTAACATTAATAATAATTTTGCTTACAGTACTGCATTGGATTCTTATTACAAGATTTGTTTTGAATTGGTTTAAACACTACAGACTTTTATAAAGAAAAAAGTTCCAACCAGTGCTTATAATCCATTGGTCCGCAACATTTTGGCTTCTTGGATCCGAATCCAAGGGGCAAAATATTTACTTTTTGCACTCAAAACAGAAATATAAACTGTTTAATACTAAGTAATTATTAAAATGTCAATATCTCTAAAGGTTTCAGCATAAAATACTCGAAAAAAAGAAAGAAGAATGAAAAAAATTTGAACATCTTAAAAATTATAGATCTTAAATAATTGTTCAAGACCTGGATCCCAATCCATTTTTTTCATGGCGGATTCGCATCAAAATGAAATAGATTCAAAGCTCTGGACTTCCAACTCTCTCTTTGTTGTCTGAATTATAAAATTATGTTAGTGATTATCTCCAAACCCTTCACGAGCAGCAGCATTACAGTAGCAGGGAGGAGAGAGAACAGAAGAGTACTGTCCCACACAGGACACCACAAAGGAAACCTCTATTCTTTCATCATACATATATACTCTTTTTTTAAATGTTGGCGTCTTTTGTTTTTTCTCCCACACCCCCTTTTTAAAAATAATTAAAATCATTTCCCACCATTTTTTTTCCGTTTTTATCAATTATTGACACAGTTAAGGTATTAAGTATAAAAAGGGGTAAAACTGGATCCGAATATGGATCCAGGAAGCCAAAATGTTGTGGCTCCAACGTATCAAGATCCTGATCCTAAGCAATGCCCTTCCCCTTACTCTTTGCATACCCCTAATCAGAGCATGTTTTTTTAAATCTAAAGAATTTAGAGTTTCCAGGGAGAGTGAAAGGAAAGGCTCCAGGTTAAGTCCATGGGAGGAGCGACCAAGCTGGGAAGAAAAACCCAACCCTTGGGAAGAGAAACCCAAATCTTGGGATGATAAACCTAAACCTTGGGAAGACAAACCCAATCCCTGGGCTGATAAACACAAACGGTGGGAGGAAAAACCCAACCCCTGGTCGGAGAAACCCAAACCTTGGGCGAATACACCCAATGCTGTTGTATCAGACCCGCTCACGGGGTCTGATTTTAGAGGATTCCAGGGGGGCCGAGGGTTTCTAGGTCCTGGTCCAGGTTTACAAGGGACTCGCGGATTTCAGAGAGGTGGTGCTGGGTTTCCTGAAGGTATAGGGGACAGCAGTGGGATGCAAGGGGGGTTTCCTGGTGGCAGGGGCTTCCAGGGAGGAGGTGGAGGGTTCCCATTGGGCAGGGGTTTAAGTGGAGGCGTAACTCCAGGAGCAGGACTACAGGGGGGTCGAGGTATCCTTGGTAGTGGAGGAGAGCCTCGTGGAGATAAACAGAGTTTCCAGGGGTTTCATGGAAAGGATTTATGGACGCCAGGATCACGAGAAAGAGGTTCCAGCTCGGATAGATTCAATCCAGGGTTGAGAGGAAGTTCTCCAGGAGGGTTCGTATCTGACAAATTCAATCCTGACAAAGCTTCACGCTCTGTTCAAGACACTGCGGATAGGATTCCTGGGTTGGGTTCGGATGATGAAGACACAAAACCGGAGAAAGATGTCGGATTCTTCGCCAAAACTCTGGAGAGAGGCGTTACCGGGATTCAGAGAGGACCAGAGAGAAACTTGGGATTGCCCGGCTTAGGAATAATATTTGCTTAAAAGTTTAAAATTAATGGGACTGTTAAAAAATTTAATTTCTCAAATCTTTGTATTAATAATTTTTTCCAAAGCTGAAAAGTCAGATGAAAACGAGCAATGAGCATGCTACCGATTGAAATCAAAGGAGACAGTTGCTGATTTAGTTAATACCCTTCTTTTTATATTAAACCATGTTTCTTCTAAATTGGAAACTTTCAAAATGATGATGAGATAAACCAATCACAAGATTAACTATTTATATATTTATATATTTATATTTATATATGAGATAAACCAATCACAAGATTAACTATTTATATAGTCCTGAATCCAATCTTATCAGTAAACCAATCACAAGATTAAATATTCATATATTCCTGAATCCAATCTTATCAGTAAACCAATCACAAGATTAAATATTCATATATTCCTGAATCCAATCTTATCAGTAAACCAATGTAAAAATCAAATTTTTTTCTAAATGTTTACTCTGATTGATATCATGGAAAAAATTTACAGAATTTAAAAGCTTTTTCACGATTTTTTAATCAAAAATTATAATTTACAGGACAAAGCAATGATCCTTATGGATCATGTAATCCAAGAACAAACAGTACACAAGATAGATTTAGGAGCAGTGGGAGAGATGAGAAACAGAGAAAACCTGAATCCATGTTTAATCCTAGAGAGAGAGCTAAGCTGGCGGATATTCTGGATCCAGCTTCAGGGAGCAGATCCCCAGGGGAGAGGATTAAAGGGAGCTCTGATCCCAGACACCGATCCAATTCTGATCCAAGACAGAGATTCAATTCTGATCCTAGGCACAGAATTCATTCTGAACCCAGACAGAAATCCAGTCTGGATTCAAGACTAAATTCTGGAAGTTCAGACCAAAGGTGAGTTAAAGGTTGAAAAAAAACCATTCATTATTATTTAATGTAATTCTTAATAAAGAAGAGAAAATTTGCTTAATTTTCGTTTTTTAAATTTACTCTTTAAAGAATTACACTTAAGTTTCAATCACAAATTGAAAATTCATTTCCCCCCTCGCCCCCTTTTTCGAAAATTTATTTATTCCTTTGATTGATTGATTGGTTGTGTTGATTGATTGATTGATCACAATACTTTTTTTCTAGCCGATCATCTAGAGATCATTCGTCTCATAATTCAACGCCGAGATCTCCCGAGGCCAGTTCCAGAGATCCTCGAGGACACGGTAGAACGACAGACAAGGCAGGACATTATTCAAATCATTCAAACCAGAAAATAATATTTTCTTAATGTGATACAAATCTTTAACATTTAATACGTTTTTGGAAAGGCCTTGGACCCAACTTCAATAATCTGCAAAAAAATGGCAAATTTGCGAAAATCCAAATATTTATCGCAAAATCTAGTTATTCAGCAACAAAAAAATTGGCTCAAATGGCAACAAATTACACATTTTTGAAAAGCCCTTGACTCAGCAAATTCAATCTTGCAAAAACCATTGTCAAAATTTTTAAAACCTGAATGTGTATTCAAGAAAAACTGAAAATGTGCAAATTCCTTTTGAAGGCGTTTGTGCAATAATCTGTGCAAAATTTCTTTGGAAAAATTGTGCAATTTGCTTGCTTTTGTTTTAGACTTTCCAAAGAGCTATGAAATGTTGAAATCCATCGACTAATTATAGATTTAGTCTGGCTTAGGTAAAATAAGGCATTTAGGCAGTATGCCTGAGGACTCAGGCAGTAGGTATAAAAGCCCAGCTTTTAGCCTTAAGTGAGGGACATGTGTTAGTTAGAAAAGTAAAAAAATATGACTTAAAGACTTTTTTGAGTTATCGCTAAAAAACGATAGGGGGAGGGGGGGAGGGGAGGGTTAAATTGACCTACACCCCCAGGCGAAATAGGGCTATAGGTGAAACTATTAATCAATTTTTTGATAAAAATGCTATAATCCATCTTGCGCCAGTTCCAAAGTTTTCTTTAATACATTTTATATTTGTGCTTTTTTGTGTAAATCTAATTGAAATCTAATTTTTAGCCAGAAAAAAGAAATCATGATGAGTATCATAATATCCGTCTTAATCCGTCATAAAATCGGTGTTTTTTTTTTAAACGTTAGTTACTGAATGAGTTTGGATTGTTTTCTTTTTTGAATGTTGCGTCTAATTTCCTACTAAATAATTGTACAAAAAGGATTTGACATTTTCGATTAAACTTTAAAGAAATGAAAACTCTTTTTAATATTAATAATCATTCTTTAAGTTGTTCACTTCAGCAACCTTTCTTGCGACAGTACTGAATTTGAACATTAAAAATTATATTTAAAAAATACCTCTTTTATTTTTTCCTCATTGAGTTACATGGTTGCCATGGTGATGTTAAAACTGAAGGCAATATGAAAAAAACAGCCAATTTATGGTTATTTTTTGTTTGTTTTGAATAATTACTTAATAAGGATCAACCTAAATCTATTCCTTTGGAACGCACTCAGCACACTTCCAGGTAACAGTTTTAGGTCATCCAGAGATTGAAAAATTTAAATGGTTGGTGGTTTTACAATCCTCTCAAAGAGACTGTAAGCGAAATTTCAAGTGTTCTTCATACAAAATTTACAATGCCCGATTTACAACGTTTCTCTTAAAAGATTTGTCTGATCAAGTATGAATGAGACATAATTGTTTATAATGTTGAAAACTGATTAATTTCAAATGCAGTTTCTCTTGAGTCTTGAGCATTTCTACTGCAGGACAAAATATTGAAACAATATTAAATAAACACTTATTAACCTAGAAAAATTACAATATTTTCCATAATTTTGAACAGTTACAGTTGTGAATCGTGTGTTGCCGTCATTGCATGAAGGGTCCTTGAAATTACGCTCACAGTCTATTTATGGATGAAAATCCACAAATTTTTTACTAATAAATGACTCATTCTGGCTGGGTTTAAAGGGATTCTAGCTTTTAATGATATTTATTTTTACGCTGTAATATCAAGAATCAAAATTGAACGAATCTTATTTAGCAATTTTTTCTTATTTCATCAATCGAAATAAAACTCCAAACTTGAAATTGATTTAATATCCAACTTTTATACTGACTTATCAGTTATCATGCTACATTTTTCTTATTTTTTTCTTTTCTGTTCAGATGGGATAGGAGGGATAATAGAAATGTTATTGATAATGGAATTAGGAGCAGGGGCTCATCTTGGAGACCTTTCCATGCTAAAACATCGTCTCCTGTCAGACAAACTGTATCCCCAGACACACAAACTGTCTCACCACAGGTTAGATTCAAGACCTTCCACCCACTTCACAACTCAGATTTTAAAAGTAATGTCTAACACAATATTTTTCTAAACCATTGGCATTTATTTGGTTGAGCAAAAAAAAATTATTAAGCCAAAGATTGAAGTGCTTTTAAGCAATACACAAGCTAGGTTTTACTTAGGGTTATATTTTAAATCTTAGTTCAGATTCAAGGGAAAATAAATTTTGAAGTCTTCTGGAAAGAAAACAAAAATGTGATGGATGGCACTTTACATATACTAATTGTCGTTTTACTTTAGAATTGTTCTCCTGACACACAAACTGCATCTCCTGATACTCTATCTTCCCCTGCATCTTCCACTCTCAACAGAGCATCTTCTCGTCCTGTAACCTCGTCCCAGGATACACCAGCCTCCCCTGATACAGCTACCTCACCTGGACAAAATGATACAGTTACAAAATCTGCACAGTCACCACAGGAACAAAACAAATATTTAATGTTCTCTTTTATCATAAGAACCAACTCTATTTTAAGCTGATTCAGCAGAATCAGAATAAGTAGTTTTCAGTTGGAGTTTAAATCAGTATAAACAACAAACGTGTCTCTTTTATTGTGTATTTTTGATGAAAGAAAAAAATTAAATCTCAAATCTTGATTCCCATTATTAGTTATTGCATATTCAGGGGGCTCACATTCCTTTATTTTGCTATCATTTCATGATAATTTTATCATATTTGTTCATGTGTCCAGGAAATTCCAAATATTCCTGTCACTGCTCCAAACCTGCCACTTCCTGTGCCAACCGCACGCATAGACCTGCCACTACCTGTACCCACCGTAAAGGCTATGCAGCCCACCTCAGGGTCTCGTCTGGATCCAAGAAAGCGAGATCCAAGACAACGACCTCCAGTAAATGTTGTTAACCCCACTTCAAGTACTAACCCGCCAGCCTACCTATCAAATGTAGGGCTGGGTGTCACCAAGAATGCAATCCATCCTGGCATGCAAATGTCTATGCAAGGGTTTAGGCCTGGGATGCCCAACCAGGGACCTAGGCCTCCACATTTTCCAGGACAGATGGGCAGCCAAGACATGAGACCTAGATTTTTAGGTCCTGGAGCCCCTCAACCCCAGGTCTCAATTCAGCCTCGCAACTACAGGGAGTACCGCCTAATGAAGGAGGAGCAGGAGAACAAGAGAAGAGAGGCTGAGCAGAGGTTCAAAGAAGAAATGAGAAAACGTCACCATAAGGAAGAGGAGAAGTCAGAAAAAGAGGATTTAAAAAATCCACCAAGTGCAGAGGTTAAGATCAGTCCAACAAAACCTGAGGAGAAGCCATCCACCAAAGGCAAAGTTCTTGACCAACCTGCACCAATTCAAGGCAAGTCTAAAGATCCCAGAAAGAAAGCAATGGATGAGAAGAAAGCAATAGAATTAATGAAAAAATCATTCAAGATTCCCAAAATGAAGAAAAATGACCCTACTGAGACTATTAAGGATGAAAACAGTAAGTTAAAAGTAATTAATATGTTTGATTCTGTAAACAAGAAAACACCAGAGAAAATGAAAATGTCAGAATCTAGTTCAACACCTAAAACCAAAAAACAAAATCCAAAAATTGAATCAAAAGAGAATGAAAAGATAGGCGAAAGTTTGAAAGATAAGGTTAAAGATGCACAACATGAAACTATTAAAAATAAATTAGAAGCAAGACTAACTAGTGATTCTGATTCTGATCATGGGCTGACAATTGCTGAAGATCTTGATGATGAACAAATGGATTTGGATAAGCAAGATATCAACCCTGCAGCCAGTCATTCTGATGCTGCCAGCAAGGAGGTAGGAGAAGGTAAGGAGGAAGGAGTAGGTAAGGAGGAACTTACAAAACAACTTTTAAAGAAGATTGTAGCAAATCTTGATCCCAATGAAGCAGCAAAACTATTGCTAAAAGCACAGCAGCTAGATAAAGTTGAAAAGCTTTCCTTGGAACAACTAAAGGAATTTTTGTTTACCCCTGAAGAGGAAGAGAAGAAACAAAAAGGACCAAAACATTCAAAGAAAAAAGGCAAGAAAAGCAGGATTGCCCCTAATACTCGAAGAAGTGGCAGGCTACTAAAAGAAACGTCAGATGTCTCGAATGAGGAGGATAACATTGCTGATCCCTCTGAATCTGAAACAGAAACATTTGTTATCGAGCCTAAGGTAATGAAACAAAAGAAGAAAAGAATGAAAAAAGGATCTAGTTCCAAGTCAAAGAGAATTATAGAGGACGAAGAGGATGATGTGGATAATGTTGAGGTTCAAGATGATCTTGTTTCTAGTTCAAATATTGACGAAGTGGGAGTAAAGGCCACTTCAGAGGTGCTACAAAGTGAACCACCAGAGCTGAAAGTATTGATACCGATGGACAAAGATCTAGAGGAATCTTCATCCTCAGCATTTTCTCCCAAGTCAAATAAAAAATCTAAAGTTGGACCAGCTCCAAAGAGTAAAACTTGGTTTCCTGGGGACAACCGTGGAACTAAAAAGAAACAAGGTTTAGCAGCATTGACTAGTCCTCCCATTATTAAAGCAGATGTTTCCCATGAAGTAAAGGAAGCTGATCCTAAAGTTTTTCTGGGAGCCAATGAAAACATCGAGGAGTTGCTGAAAACTGAGTTTGCATTTAATCCTGGTAAGCTGGATCAGAAATTAACAAATTCCTTCAAGAAAAGACATGAAACCGTTACTGGTCTTTTCAATAAGCTTTCACTGAAGATTAAGCAGCAGAATAAACTTGAGGCATCGAAAGCCAAAGATGAACCTTCTGAGTTGCCTCTCTGCTCAAAGATTAAGCTATGCAGACCCATCACACCAGAGACCTTCCTTGAACCCCAACTAGTAAAGTCTATTGAGCTAACATTGCCTCCTGTTGTCAAATCCAAGACAGAATCGTTGATTATTGCACTGCAAGGAAAGCTTAAACAAGGTTCCAAGTCACAGGAAAATGTAGAACCAGAACTTCCAAATTTGTTTGATGTCGTAAAGGATATTAGCAGAGTTGAAAAGAAAAGGCGGCAAGCTCCACCTCTTCTTATTCCATTATCAGAAACTCACCGGAAGGTTGAAGTTAAGAAGAGAGATTATGGGTTCACTTGCAGTAAAGGAAAATATCTCCCTAGCCTTGTGACTGAGTTTAAGAGTTCCAAAGCTGTATTGCTTCAGCTTCATGAGGATAAAATTGTCTGTCTCTTTCGGTGCATGAGCTTTAATTGTAGCTATGCCACTAATAGCGTTGATGAATTCAAATCACACTTGTTTGATCATGTTGAGGACAAGTTTGGATCGCTTAGATGCTCATTATGCCTTGGGAAAGCCTCTGAATTTGGGAAACTGATAAAACACATTGTGAAAAAGCATGGACATGATCAGTTCCAATGTGTATATTGTTTTTCAAGACACAGCACTAGGGAAACATCTCTTGGGATTATTATCTTAGTAAATAAAAAAAAAATTGAAATTGGAAATCTTACTTTTCAATCAAAGTTTAAATTTTTAACAATGAATTGACTTCAAAGGAAAAAAAACTTGTTAGTTAGTAATAAAGAAATGTTGTCCCAGGATTGACATCGATCTTCATCTCAATATTTTTCATCCTAACCTTCCTCCCCTGCATATCTGTTGCCAGTATCTGCCTGGGGCGGACAAACAGGCGATTGAGGCGGAGAATAAAGGAGTTGAGTTGGATGTGCTAAATCACCCTATTCTCTGCCCCTTGGTTGACTGTTCTTTTACCTGTGATGCTTCTAAACCTGAAGAGCTTGTTTATCACATTAGGTGAGATTTTACTTTTTATGAGGCACAATATTTCAGAAGATTGAAAGAAAAAATGACAACCTTAATTCTTATTCATTTCTTGATCCATTAATGTTCTATTTCCAAACTGAAAAAAGCTAATTTGACAATATCAGGTCATGATGAACCTAAATGAATGCAAATGAAGTCGTTGCTGGAGACAGCTTGTAAGGCAAAGAATTAACATGGTTTGTGGCCGTTTTCGTTAATTCTGGTTTAAAAAAAGATTAATTAAAGATTGATTACCCTTCTCATTATATTTTGTTTTTAGTGATAGTTTGAAATGTGGCAAAGTAGATCTAGAGGAAAAGATTAATGAGTATCTTTGTCCCTACTGTCAGTATTCAAATATAAATCAGGTAAGTTGTTCCTAGTTTAGACATCTCAAGAAAGAGATGGCACGATAAGGACAAAACAGCCCTCCCGCCGTGCACAGTAATAAAGGTTTTGCTGGGAAAACATCCCTCCCGCCCTTGAGCAGAACTAATGGTTTTGCTGGGAAAACAGCCCTCCCGCCCTTGAGCAGAACTAATGGTTTTGCTGGGAAAACAGCCCTCCCGCCCTTGAGCAGAACTAATGGTTTTGCTGGGAAAGATATTTATTTATCGATTTATCTATATATTAGGTATTTTACCCATATTATCAATATATACGATTCTAACAGGCCCCTCTATGGTCACTTTGAGGACAAATGAGGCCCTTCGTTATGAATAAATAAATCAATATTAGGCCCGTATTTATTTATCCATTTATCCATATTATGTTAGGTATTTATTCATATATATGTAACTATTTATTCAATTTTCATTTAAACCTGATATTTATTTATCCATTTATCTATTTATTCATTTATACCTGATATTAATTTATCCATTTATATCAGGTTTTTATCTTTTTTTTTTGGGGGGGGGGTGTAAGAAGAGAAGATTTTGGTTTGAAGGAGTCTTTAATGTTCTTTTGTGCTGCTTATAGATATGCTAAGCTGCCGATGTGAACGTTAGGGTAACTCCCAAAATTTGTATTGTGCGTCTTAGTTCTAATACTTATCTTTGGTGAGGGTCACACAAATCAAAATATATATCAAATAAAGGAGAATTATTTTAAAAATTCAAATTCTTTGTTAATATCCTTTTTTTTCAGTGATACCGATTACTCTTCGGATTGTTCGACGGATAGTGAACTTTCGAACTTCGATGCTGGATTCTGTGACGAGGATATCGAGTCTCTGGAACAAATTGAGCGCGGCTCGGAGCTAGAATGTATCGGGCTTAGTGGACACACACTCTTCAAGGAACTTAGATACACAGATTAGGGCCTTAGTTTGGTTGACAGTTTTGTAAAAAAAACTTATTTCTCCGACATTTGGTGAAAATTGTAACACAAAAATTAGCCAAATAAGGTTCAGAATCGTAAAAAAAAGACTTTGTTAAAATGTGTATCCAATAATTAATTGACAAATTCAGCTGAATAACTTTAATTGACCGAAATTCATGAAACAAGAGCGAATAAAACCATACTTTGATTTGATTGAAATCTATGATTTTAAAGCCATATTGGATCCCATGGCTCGGTTTTTTATCAAGACAGTTATTTTAATCGTTCAGTTAGCAGACATGAACAAAATTTCAGTTTTCTCAACTTTTTTTTGTTTGGGGGGGGGGCAGANAAATCCCCCCCCCCCCCCCTCCACACTGTGTATCTGAGAAATGGTTTTCTAGTGCGCTAACGCTGAATGTGATTTCAGCGCGGTAAACGTTTCAAACTTCAAGGACCATTTACTAGGAATCAATTTAATCAATCAATCAATCTCATCTAAATTCGATAAATCAATTAATCAATCTAAATCTAAATTTGATTCAGCATTAAACTGAAGTCTGATCAATCAATTCTAAATCTTAATCTAGATTTGATCAATCGTTAACCGAAGTCTAAAATTGATAAATCATTCAATCTAAATCTGAATCTAGATTTAATAATTCAATTAATTTAAATCTAAATTTGATCAACCAAACAATCAATCCAAATCGAAATCGACTCCTTCTTCAATAAATCAAACAATAAACTTACAAAATATGTACAATGTACATATCGAATATTCATTCTACTTGAATGTTTGTTTGTTACAAATTTGAAACGGCTAAACCAAACAGCCTAGATTGAAATTCTTCCGAGCTAGAACTAGATTCTAAATTAAAGAATTGATTTATTTGTTGTTAGTTTGTGAGTTTTCCTCTGATAGCCTGTACTACACCTGTATTCACTGTAGGAAACAGTTTAAACATCCTCCAACACTGCTAGGAACATTATTACGATGTTTAGTAAAATTTAATAAGTGTATTGTGTATAAACCAAAAAGTTGTCGGATTTTATTAAAAAAAAATCGTGGATTTTTGAAATTTAATGGAAATCAAATTTTGTCGGAGGCAAATCTTTGAAAGTTTAATCATCCATTAAACTTCTCTGGGGCCATTTGACCTTGTTTACAAATTTGAATAAAGTTAACAATTGGCAGATCCTTAAACATTGCATTACAATGAGTACTTTTTACACAAACTTTATTCCCCACCTTAGTTTTATTCACAAAAGAGCTCAGAGTTCATCTGATACAAATCACACAAAAGTAATCCTTCCAGCCCTCACCACTCATCTGTTTTTAGAAATAATTTTTTTAGGATTTTTTTAGAAGCAACATTTATAACGTAAATATGTAGATCCACTCAGTTTAGTTTTCTTTAATAAATACGTTTTTAACTTCTTTTAACTGGTTCACAATGTCAACAAGTAATGATTTGGTTTGGTTTAGAACATATGAAATCCCATGCTGTGAGAAGATTTTTCTGTAGTCTCTGTGATTACAAGGTAAAAATATTTTTGTTATCTAAAAAATGGGAAATTTTTTGTTGTTTATTGTTTTAAGGAACCAGTTTCTAGTCTCCTACACTAATTCTTCTGATATCTTTGCTACCTGATGGTGTAAACCTTTGATATTTCAAATTTGACCATTTGATTTTGCAGTATTCATCATCAGAAAAAGCATATCTTTACAACATAAAGTTTCATCACAATTTCTAAAAGTTTGTTGATTTTGGGAATGGAAGGAGTGAGTTATGACTTCTATTATCTACATTACTTATCAATCTAATGTTTATATTTTCTCCGACAAATTTTTAAAAATTTAACAATTTTTCAGAATTCAGTGTTGCAGTGGACAAAATCTCACATGAGACAGCACAAGGTTGGAATACAAAATACATTTGGAAACAAACAGCAAAATTTTTTTTTTTTTTTAAAACGACTTAGAATTTTTACTTTTGATTTAAAGGGACTGTAAGTGTGGACTTTTCAGCTTTTAGCGTCTCTCCTAATAATTTTCAGTGTGCAACAATAGAAGTTCATAGCTATTTAACCAATATATTGTTTATACGCCACCTCATACACAGAATAATCAAGTCCAGTCTTTAGTTTTAGAGTTTTTTCTTGATCATCATCAAGCTCTGAAGCTTAATTATAAACTTAATTAGCATGGCATATCTTTATAAAGTGGGATGAATGGTAAAATGGTGTGACCAGATAAAGTTATTTGACAGAATACATTAAAATCCAATATTTCAAAATGTGATCTCTGGTGAAATGTTACGACCAGATAAAAGGATTTTAAGCATTAAGCATTATATGAGAACTTTATAAAAGCTTAAAACATCTGGTTCAAAGGGCACATGAGAATAATTTGCGAAATACAATGGTGTCCCTAGCTTTCTAATGTAAATCTTACATTTGATGGTGATTATGGTTTTCTCGCGCGCTGATCCAAATGTCTTCTGTTTGGGTTTTATCAAGTTTCAAGTTCTCCGTGTGTCAGTATAATTTCAGTATGATAATTATTGAAATATCAGTAGTATTCACCTTATGGAATTGATCTAGATACAGTCCCTCCAGATAAACAGTAGAACGTAGTACAGAAACGATATGTACAGTTATTCTCAGATTCTTTCTGCCTGCATTAAAATTATTGTTAATCTAACATGTAACACAAGTTAGATTTAAGATTTAAACAATATCTGGTAGATTTTCTAGACTAGCTGTGTGCTGTAGATCAGCGTGAGATCCCGCTAGATCACCGTGAGATCTTTGTTTAAAATTTGACATGGAGTGTATTTGGTAAAGATATCTCGTATCAATTCTGTTCCGAATCTAAAGATCAATTAGTTGAAATCACGTTTCAACATCAATTATTTTCTTCAAATGAATACATTTCAATAAGTTCTGTTTATTGACCTGCTATTGTTAGTGAGACAACCCTAGCCTCATTTGGAGCATCAAGAACTCCGGATTATACTCTGATCCCTCTTGATGATCGACTGGATCAGACAACTGCAATATAATTAATGAATCAAATGCTTTTATATGATCTCAGAACAAAGTTTTGAAAACTATTTTGTACCTTGAATGTTATTTGAACAACGGATCACTTCTTGAGATAGGAAAAGGGAGTCTTAATGATCTTGATCTCCCATGATCATCGGCAACACGAGTGAAAGCTTGGGATAAATATTACATGTTTTACAGTTTTAACATTTAAAGTATTACATGTTGAACAGTTTTAACATTTAAAATATTACATGTTTAACAGTTTTAACATTTAAATATTACATGTTTAACAGTTTTAGCATTTAAAATATTACATGTTTAACATGTTTAAAATGTGCCATTATTATTTTCCCTTTAAAATGCTTGCTAAAAATCTGGTTTACATTATATATTAGATTTTTTTTAAAATACAGAATAAAATTACATCTTGATATTCTTTAAACTTGAAGATTGACAGGATTAAAGGGAATGTTCTTGATTATTTAATCATCCTGCATAGATAGTTCTTCACTGGATCACACTGGTTCAGCCCTCTTCTTTCAGGCTGTAGTTTATCCTAAAATTTTACAGCAAGCGGTATTTTAAGTGACTATCCATACAATGATGGCAATGCCTTATTCACAGCGGTACCTTTAAAATCTTTTTCGGATAAAAAACGTGGAAGCTATTTTTGTTGATAGGTTTAATAGCTTTTCCTGTAGTAGAAATGCGAAAACTACTTTTTACAGAAACCACAATTGAAAATATTATATTATAAAAATTGAAATCTAATTCATACTTGATCAGGTAAAGTTTTTAAGAGTATCTTTGCGAATCGGGTATTGCCAATTTCCCTTGGAAGGTCAATAGAAATTACGGTTACAGTCCCTTTAATTCCTATTTTTTCTAGGTTACAAATATCAAACTAGTCCCTGTTCTTCCCAATAGAAGTAATGCAGATGAGGATTGTTTTGTCCTTGTACCGAAGGAAACTTGGATTGTTGATTTTTATTCACCTTTGCGAAAAATCAGTTATGTTCTTTCAATGTTTTAAAATTCCTTTTCCTAAAATGCTTTCAACAGAAAAAATAAAATTTGAAGGTTTTTATGACAACATCGCGCCCCAGGTACATTCAGCCAAACCTTTTTCAATCATTTCGTTGATGTCGGAATCTTTTTTTGATGCAAATTTTCTCAAATATTGCTTTCTAGGAAGAATAAGAAAAGTAACTATTATGTTTTGTGGGACACCTCTTATGAATGATCCACAATCCTTGTTGTCTGTAGAATACTGTCCCTAAGGGTCCAAAGTCTAAGGTATCCAAGGATACCTTTGGAATTCAAGATATAGATATGATAGCATCAAGACCAGAGGTTTGCAGGTAAACTGAAATGACGATCGAATTTTGATAGAGACAAATATTTGAAATTTTGATGATTCTTAAACCTTCCCTGGGCTCCCTAGATGTCCCACAAAAAATTTGGGACCGATCGGTTCAGCCGTTTTGACGTTTATTGGATACAAACAAACAAACAGACAAACAAACAGACAGACAAACAAGCCAAATTTATATTTAAATAATTAAGTACGAAATTCTCTAATTTTCTAATCTCTTTCTTATTAAAAATTACAATTACTTAATTATATTTCTTTTGTTTTATTTAGAAACTTTCTGAGATGTGCTGTCTGTGATTTTTCTACTAAAGGTAAGTTTCTTCTGCAAAAACTTTCATCCATTTTTATTTTTACTATCTCAAAAATATTGATGATATTGATATATGACTGTTTTTCTTTCTAAATTAACAGCACTCGTTTTATCATACATTGGTATGTGATTATATCAATACAATGAAGACGACTTTCGATTTAAATTTTGATTTATGTCAAGCTGTTAAGCAACATGGATACACATTAGCTGAGATGTCAATAGGAGCTGTCAATTAATAAAGGTTACTTTGATTACTTGTAAACTTGTATTTCGAAAAAAAGCGTGTTAACAATTCAAACTTAATAAAAAGTCGTCTTAATTGTATTGATATTATCGCCTACCATTGTACTTTAATAGCTATTTAATAAGTCTTTAGGATTTCTGTTTCCTAGAATTGAATATACATCCCTAAAGGCAGATTTGATTTGATTTAATTTAATTTGCTACAGAAATGTATTATTGAATACTTTTATGTAATTTAAATGCAAGTTTCATAACCTATCGGCAATTCGATAATATCTTGATTACATTATTCTTTGGACTTTTTTATTTTCCGATATTAAAACGAAAAAAGTCATTAAGGGTTCCAAAGTGAATTTTATTTCGGCACTTAAATGCTGATCGACAATCGTGACACAGGGCACTGTCCCTAAAAAATTGCTATATTTTAGTTCGGAGGAATTTGATGAGGCATCTGAACATGCATCGGCTCAGGCAGAAGCAGTATGAGGAGGGGGAAATAAGGGTGAGTGGGATTTTTTGACCTCAAAAATTCAGTTTTTTGGAGATTGTCATTTTCAGAGGAAAAGTAAATTTTTAGAGATGGTTTTGTCTAGGTCATGTAATTTTTCTCAGACAACCATTTTTTAAAACCCATTAGTGACGAGACCAGTAACTATTAGTGAAGTTGTTTTAGAAGGATCTTGTCAAAACAAAACTTGATTGTACTCATGAAAAAATGATAATTCAATTAAATTTTTGAATTTTTTTTTGTACAGGGTGACCTGTAAAACATAAAAATCTAAAAAACTTTGGTAATTCATAATTATTTAATTATCTTCAAAACTTTACTTTTCATGTTTTAGTTATTTAGATCTTTAAAGAAGATTCCAAAAACATCTTTATTTTTTTTCTAGCAAAAAAATTGACAATTTTATAGATTCAAAACTAAATTACAGAATGTTCTTTTGGGATTTCCGAATTCAAAATCTTGTTTTTTTTGGTTTTTTAAAATTGAAAATAAAATAAAAGACCCAATTTTGAAGTTACGTCAAATATAAAATATGTTTTGAAAACAGTAAATCTTAAGGAAAGCGCAGGAAAAGACAAGACAACATTTAGTTTAAGAAAAAAGGCACTTTAAAGAAAAAAACCTCACCCGGTCAAAATTGACCTTCTCGTCACTAATGGGTTAAGAGAAGGGCTGATTTCATAAAGAATGTCATTTTTCTGATCGAGAGAAGGTGATTTTCATAAGAAAGGGTCATTTTCAACAAAGAAGATAATTATTTTTATTTTATTTTGTTCAGGGGAGGTGATCTTTCCTAGAAAAGTTATATTTTTCTTAAATGTTATAATATTTCATTTTGTTTAGGAGATTAAGATGTCTGTCGTATGTCCTGTGAACCCTCCTGTTAACATTAGCAATGGGCCAGATTCAAATTATAGCAAGTATGTATTGTAATTTTTTATGAAACTTAAAGAGCCCGTGCCGTTCATTTGTTTAGACTTTGTTAAAAAAAATATTAGTTTTGTTTTAAAATAAAACACAATAAGAAATTTGAATAATTTTTTCTGGGGTTTAATACTTTTCCCCAATCATATATTCTCATTTAATGTAAATTTCTGGCATATTGGGGAATTATTTTTAAAAAAGGGGAGGGGCTTTTTTTGATGAGGAGAGAGAGAGAAATGATGTTAAAAAAATAAATGTAAATATATTAGCTACGTTCCTTCTGACATCTTCACAAGCCGCAGCGTTCGCCCCCCTCCCCTGTTTCAGCCTTCAGCGCCTCGAAAGGCCAAACCTAATCTTAAATGTACATGTGTAGTGGAAAATTTCCGGTTGGGAAATCGCGACATGAGAAAAGGCCTTGGGATAGTATCCAACACCTATAAATGATTTATCCAGGATGCAGTCTCTGCTGGGTGGGGATGAAGATGATGAGTGGACAAGACAACCTATGTCAGATGAAGAGCTGGCGCTAATGCCGCGTCTTATTCCTGAAAATGTCCGCTACGCCTGCGGGATGAAGGATTGCAAATATATCACTATAGATGAGGTAATGTTAAAATACATGGCAGGGTTGCGCTTAAAGGGTCAGAATTTAAAGGGTTTGTACCGTTATAAACGGAATTCCAAGTGAGTGTAGATTTACAGCGGTGTCTGCCAGATTCACTGAACCTTCCTCTAATATTAAAACATACAAATATCCATTGCTTTCTTTTTAAAAATTGTTAATTGTTTTGTTCATTGACTGATTGATATTATTAAGGTGATGCTGCAGTATCATATTCAAGCTCTCCACGCAGATTGTTCTGTATATACTTGTCCACACTGCAGTGATGTAACTATACCTCTGGATGCAATCAGGTTATACTGATTTTTTTTTATTTACAGGGATTGTTCCCTAAACTACACATAACGCCCCAATTTAGAAAAACATCTAATCCAGAATAGTAAATAATTTTGTGGTTGTAAACTTTGTGTTATAGTGGATTATGTTAATTTTATAAATGTTGTGTGGCAATTTTCTCTAAAGAAGTGTTTTAACGCCTTGATGCATGAAAACTATATTCAAGATTTTACCTTGTTTATTTTTATCTTTTAGAGATAATATAAGAACCAAAATGTTTCCAAAACATCAGCTATATTATGCGCAATGCGCATTCTCAATCCGGCAAAACATCCCCATATTACACTTCTTTGATATGAAGCTTCTTGTTTATGAGACTGTAAGGCTAACTGCAATGATCCTCCAGATTAAGATATTCATGCCCAAGGGCACCCCAAATCAGGCATTGCCATCTTTTCTTGGAGGTCCACGTAAAATTACGACTTAAGTTTAAAGTTATTAATAACTAGAGATAAGATTGAAAAGTAATCTTAATTATTAATTTTTAAATCCTCTGTTCTTTTTTTAAGTTCTTGTTTATTAAGTTTCCATCTACGATGTCACGGCGAGCTGCTGTTCAAGTGCGGTAACTGTGCGCATTACCACTGGCAAAAGCGCACAGCTGAGAAGCATGCCGCGCATCAACATCCAGATAAAAAGCTTTTTGTCAGGTAATTTCCACTTATTTTAGATAAATCATTTGATTTTTTTTACACTTTGCCAACCCTGAAAAAAAACTACCCCAAACGAACCAACTTAATCCGCAAAACTAGAAAAAGTTTAAATTATGACATTTACTTCTAATAATCACTATGATATTTTGATGTGTAACAAAATTTGCATATTGGTTTGGGTGTTTATTTTATGTTGATAAAATTAATTTCCCTCATTCGGAGTTTTAAAACTTAATTTGTACAAAATTATTTGTATATTATAGTTTTTTTTTATATTTTATATTTTGAATTTTGGTTTTTCTCCGATTATATATTCCATATGAAGTATGAGACACGTAAAACCTAGGATGATCATTTTAGGTACTTTTAAACTGTTTGAGAAGAAGTTTCTCTGCCTGAGTCTTTTGATCCTAAACTTACTAGTTTCTTAATTCAAATTAGAGCTAGGATGTATATGTATAGTATTCACCCGTCTACTAGCCGATGATGAAAATTATTTCTAGGGCTGACTACGAAAGTAGATCTAAAATCAATTAATAAATGGGGGGGGGGGGTGAATAAAAATTGAACATGAAAAGCCTTTTTTAAATTTTTTTTATTCAGTTTATTCTAAAATTTTCCCGATTCAGCTAAAAAAAGAAATTGGCGCTCCGCACAGAGCCATACCAAACGTCTAAAAAAATTTCAAACAGCAGCCGGGGAAATGATTTTAAATAAATATACGTTGTAACAGATTCGTAAATTTTTTGTTTTTGATTTTTGGACGTGTCACTGATTTTTATAAATGCAGAAATGTTCGCGCTGAAGAGGAGGAGAAGAAAGAGACGAAGAAGAAGAAAAAGAAAGAGACTGTTCCCAGTAAAGCTGAACCTGTTCAACTCTCATACCTTCCCTTTAAATGCGGAATCTGTGATTATAGTGCAGAGGTATTTTCATCAAACTCTTCACATTATTTTTATTTTTAATTTTTTCATTGGAACCTGTAGAAATTAGAGACGCTAACTTAATCCTGATCACTTAATCTGAGTATCCAATGTACACACTTTTGGTTTTATTCTTAATCCTCTTTTTTGGACACCCCTACCTTATAAAAGTTACGTTTGATAACAACTACAGATACAATGCTATATCGATTGGACTAATATCCGATTGAACAAAAGTCAGCTGGTCACAAGCCGGCTTTTAGATTTAAACAAATAAAAATTCAATCATGTTAATATGAACTTATTAAAAAACGTATTTTATCACTTTTGAAGTCTACAATCATTTTGAACGTTAGTCTTAATAAACATTAATCCATATCTTACGTTCGTTCAATCGATCATTAGTTCAATTAATATGACACCATCAACACCAGAAATGCGCAAAATTTAATGAATAAACATTGTCTCTTTAAATATTTTAATTAATACAGACTGTCTCTTTAAATATTTTAATAAATACAGACTGTCTCTTTAAATATTGTAATGAATACAGACTGTCCTCTTTAAATAATTTAATAAATACAGACTGTCTCTTCAAATATTTTAATAAATACAGACTGTCTCTTTAAATATTGTAATGAATACAGACTGTCTCTTTATATATTTTAATAAATACAGACGGACTCTTCAAATATTTTAATAAAGACAGACTGTCTCTTCAAATATTTTAATAAATACAGACTGTCTCTTTAAATATTTTAATAAATACAGAAAGTCTCTTTAAATATTTTAATAAATACAGACTGTCTCTTTATATATTTTAATAAATACAGACTGTCCTCTTTAAATATTTTAATAAATACAGACTGTCTCTTTAAATATTTTAATTAATACAGACAGTCTCTTTATATATTTTGATAAATACAGACAGTCTCTTTATATATTTTAATAAATACAGACAGTCTCTTTATATATTTTAATAAATACAGACAATCTCTTTATATATTTTAAACAGTCTCTTTATATATTTTAATAAATACAGACAATCTCTTTATATATTTTAATAAATACAGACAGTCTCTTTATATATTTTAATAAATACAGACTGTCTCTTTAAATATTTTAATAAATACAGACAGTCTCTTCATATATTTTAATATATACAGACAGTCTCTTTAAACATTTTAATAAATACAGACTGTCTCTTTAAATATTTTAATAAATACAGATTGTCTCTTTAAATATTTTTTATAAATACAGACAGTCTCTTTAAATATTTTAATAAATACAAACTGTCTCTTTAAATATTTTAATAATACAGACAGTCTCTTTAAATATTTACTTTTGTACATATTTCGTTGCAATTGGCATTTTTTTATTAAACGATTTGAAAATTTTTAATAGTTACGTTTATTTAATGAAAAAAGCTTAGCTCTCAGAATATATTCTAAAAAGCTAAATTTTTTACGTGCATCGTGTATCCCTAATAGACGTCCACGCTGTGCAATGTGCATCCCCACAGGGCCATAATTTAGTGCATCCTCAAAAGAATATTTTTTTTGGTGTACTGCTTTGTCCTCTTGGCAACAGATAATGTTTGTAGATGTTGCAAGCTAATAAAACATAAACATAAAAAATTCAATATTTCACCATTTTGTTTTACTTCAGGTTGTTGGGGATATATTAGAACACTGTACAACTGTACACGAGCTAAATCATCAGTACAAATGTGCTTTCTGTACATTTTCCAGTAATAACAAGGTACAATTTTTTTCAATATCGTTTACTCTAATTGTGGATCCTCTTTTTATTCTCGGAATTTTTTGTCTATTTCGAAGAATTTTGATAATAAAATTAAAAATTCTGAAAAGCATTTTGAGTGAAGTAGCGCTTAAAAACTTCCCTGGGATCATGAGAGTTCCCACAAAAAAATTGGACTAAATTTTTTCATTTTTGTTAAAAAAGATAAACTTAATGTTTTTGTTATTTCTAGGTTGATATAGAGAAACATTTTCCTGAAGCTCACAAATTATTCAACCCTACTGTACTCAAGATGTACTTCGTAGACCCTAGTACATGTACTCAGGTACTTATTAATATTTAAGATTGGTTACCCATTAATACTTTTACTCGGGTACTCATTAATACTTGAGATTGGTTACCTATTAATACTTTTACTCAGGTACTTATTAATACTTGTGCTCAGATACTCATTGATACTTGTGCTACTCGAAGGTACTCAAAATATCTTGTACTCTGGTAATCATAATATCTTGTACTGTTACTTATTTTTTAACAATTTGTTTTTTAAATGAAAAATTTTGAGAAGAGCAGTGGATTTTTTCTCCGACCGTTGTATCTTTTTTTTATCTAATCATACACCTGTTTTCTGTTCTTCTCTTTTAGATCTACGCATTCTAATCTCTTGTAGACAAGGCAAAAAAAGGCATTTTTACACATATTTCTGATTCATACTATTATTAAATTTGATATCTTGGCTCCTGAAATATCATATTAAACTGGTACTTATCAATACTTGTACTCAGGTACTAATATTTTGTACTCCGGTACTCATAATATCTTGTACTCAGGTACTCATAATATCTTGAACTCAGGTACTAATCATATCTTGTACTCAGGTAATAATAATATCTTGTACTCAGGTACTCATAATATCTTGTACTCAGGTACTCATTGTATCTTGTACTTTGGTACTCATTGTATCTTGTACTTTGGTACTCATTGTATCTTGTACTCAGGTACTCTAATAATAACAATAACAAAAATGATAATAATAATAATGATAAACCTGTGATAAGGACGCTGATTCTGCCACTGCTAGAAAACCCCTGTGGAGTCGAGAAATGGAAGGACTCAAACACATCAGGTAAACTTTAGATTAAAGGGACTGTGTGTCAGATAAGTATTGAATTCAAAGATGGAGTTTTGTTCAAATGAAGACGACTTCCATATCAATGGGGCACAGATTGTAGGTTTGTCAATTATCAAATAAATGAAATCATCAATGGAATTTTTATCAGAAACCAAATGACTGCGTGAAAAAAGGAATAAGGAAAGTAATATCAATGACATAAAGTGATTAAAACAATGACTTTAAAGAGGCTTTTTAACATTATCCTTGGAAACTTTAGGTCGGAGAGGAGCGCCGACCCCTACTTCACTTAATGACGGGTTGTCTTTTAATAATAATAATAATAACATGGTCAAGTTGCGATCAGGGTTATTTAAAAATAAAAATGCATTGTTTTGTAATATGGGATATCATTTCCTCAAGATAAAGTTAAAGTAAGGTAAACTTTAGATCAAGTTTAAAATTATTACCTAAAAAAATGTATTATTAAAAAATGTAATCTGAGGGATTAGCAACCTTTTTTACTCAGAGGGGGAAATGTAACCATTTATTCAAGTCACATAACTTGACAGTGTTACGGAACTGGGCTGCAACGTAGTATGTACTTGTATACTATCTTGTCTTTTTACAGTGCACAATTATCTTCTTGTTTAATAATGGGAAATGATTTCCGAGGAATTCCTGGACTGAAAAATTATTCCGGATTTATTCCGGATTATTATGAACTAAAGTTAAACATTTTGAGCTTTCAAATAAAACTAAGTATAGTGGGGGTTGAAATAAAAAAATGGAATGATATTTTTCTTCTGAACCTAAACCTAGTGGAGTCACTAATAAACTTACATGTCTAGGGGTTTATTGTTTGATGAAAACTCTCCTGAACCTAGTAGAATCACTAATAAACCTAGTAGAGTCACTTATTAATCTATTTGTCTAGGGGTATATTGTATGATGAAAACTCTCTTGAACCTAGTAGAATCACTAATAAACCTAGTAGAGTCACTTATTAACCTATTTGTCTAGGGGTATATTGTATGATGAAAACTCTCCTGAGCCTAGTGGAGTTACAAATAAACCTAGTAGAGTCACTTATTAATCTATTTGTCTAGGGGTATATTGTATGATGAAAACTCTCCTGAACCTAGTGGAGTCACTAAGAAACCTGGTAGAGTCACTAATAAACCTAGTGGAGTCACTAATAAACCTAGTAAAGTCACTTATTAATCTATTTGTCTAGGGGTATATTGTATGATGAAAACTCTCCAGAACCTAAACCAAGTGGAGTAAGAAAACCTAAACGAGAGAAGTTCGAGCTTAACATTGATACGGTAAGTTTTACTCGGAACATAAAGGGTTAACCACAAAGGATGTAACTTCAGAGACGACTGTACAGATTTATATCTTCTGTTTATATTTATTATTCTCTGTGCAATCTTTCTTTGCCTTTTATCATAAAATAAGCTAGTATAAGATTATGTACAAGGAAGGAGACTTAATTTAACCTTGGAAAGGTCAGATTTGAAGAGTTTCAGGTCGTCTTTACAGTCTCATTCTTTGTGGGTAACCCTGTAAGTATGCCATTCTATAGTTCGGAAGAACTCCCTAGCTTCGTTTTCATCAGAAATGTACTGTGATCGCTCCCAGACCTTAATTTGTTTTCTCTAACTGCAGTACACTCACTAGTTAATATTTCTTTCTTGTATAAACAAACATTTGTTAGGTTTACGCTGATGGTATAGCTCGGCTAGATCAAGGAGCTATTGGACAATCCCTGGTTTCTTGATTTGATTTGATTTGCTTGAAATAAGAAATAGAAAACTTTTATTTTATTTTTTAATAGCTCACATCAAACTAGACTAAACTCCTTTTATTGAACAGCTGTTGATTAGAACAACAATGTTTTCTCATACTTGTGCATGTAAAATGTAGAGAAGCTACGAGGTCACATAGTCGTACCAGTAACATTCTCCCTCTCCCTAGTTTGCAGTGAACTTGAGTACACAAGGGAAATAGAATTCACAAATGATTTGATTTTATTTGATCTGAATCTTCAATGTCTGACTTTTAACTCTTCATTTGCTATACAATATGGTTTTATAGAATTAACATGAAAATGTTTTAGATCAAAAAGGAACCGGAAATGGATTCAACTTTGACAAAACAGAAAGCAGAATTCATTACGGCCAAACAGGAAATAGAATCTGGTCCAACCAAACAGGAAATAGATTTCTATCCGATGCAATGCAGGGTTTGCGAGGTATTTACATTTGTTCTCTCTAATCTTTTCACGATTTTGTAAAAGCCTAATTTTTTTTCCAAGATGATCAAACTAAAAAATGTTTTATTTTTTTCACTTATCTTTTTTTCATTCCTTTTTGAAATAAAATAATAGTAAGTTTACTTATAGTTTTAAATTTCTAAAGTTGGGCGTCCCTAAAACTCTGATTGATTAGTTAATTTGATTTATTTGATTGATTGATTTGATTGATTTGATTGATATGATTGATTTGATTGATTTGATTGATTTGTTTGATTTGATTGATTTGATTGATTTGATTGATTTGATTGATTTGATTGATTTGATTGATTTGATTGATTGATTGATTTGATTGATTTGATTGATTTGATTGATTTGATTGATTGATTGATTTAATTTATTTGATTGATTTGATTGATTTGATTGATTTGATTGATTTGATTGATTTGATTGATTTGATTGATTTGATTGATTGATTGATTGATTGATTTGATTGATTTGATTGATTTTATTGATTTTATTGATTTTATTGATTTGATTGATTTGATTGATTTGATTGATGTATTATTAGAGTTTTGATTGATTGATTGAATGTTGGGAGAATAAATGTATTTATGAAAATATAAAATAAAAATGATGAATGTGTGTATTTCCTCTAGGTTGATAAAAAGAATATTTCTGGATTAAAACTTCATATTAAACTAGTTCATCTTAAACAGGTCAGCATATTCTACATTAATTTACAACTTAATTATTCTCTTAAAAATTTAATGTAAAATAAGAGTTGGTATTTGTTGAACCAATACAAATATTATACTTGAGTCCGAATTTGAGCCGCGTCTCAAATCTGCCAAAAATCGGTTTCAAATCTTGTAAAATTGAATGCAATTTTAAGTGGAACCAGCCATATTTGAGCTGCGTCTCAAATTCTTTAAATTAAATTAAATTAAATTAAATTTAAAACAGTATTAAAAAGTGAGCCAATCTCAAATCTTAATTCAAATCTCGAGAAAATTTATGTTGGATAATACATTTTTATAAAAACTATTGAAAAAGATTAGATTTTTAAAGGTAAAATATTTAGCCCGAATATTAGGATGCTTTTTGAAGAAAAATTTAAAAATACTTGTCTTTTTAAAAGTTTTGAATCAAAAGTTAAAATTTTAAAAAGCGTGGGGGGGGGAATGACCGTTAAGAAAAAAAAATTTCCATGTTTTGGTGTTATTGTTATAGCCAGCATCTTGTTTAGGGGAAATACCATTGTCTGAACTGTGATATAACGGCGAACCTCAAACAATCAATTATTAGTCATGTCAAGAAATTTCACTCTTCCCTACAAGATAAAGAAGGTAATACATCTGAAATAGAAAATTGTTAAACCTAAACCTATCATCAATAAAGAAATGGTTTAAAAATTCTAATCAAGTTTATGATTAATTAATTAAATTAAGCAACTAAATTACTAAATTAGGAAAAACTTTGATTTTTTTAATCTTTGGACAAAAATCATTTATTATTATTTTTAACAATCCTTTCAGAAACTCTTTGAATTACCTTTATCTCATTCTTCGATCACAACTAAAAGTCTTAAAAGAGGGGTGTATACTGTATATTTTCTAGAATCACCCTCCCCCCGAGAGGGGGGGGGGGTAAAAAATCAAAATACAACTTCTAACATTATTTCCGATACTTACCCAAAAATGCAATGATTTTCTCCGATTCAGCGAAAAATTAAATGTGCAGGAAAATATACACCCCTGTCTCAAAAGCTTGAATGTTCAAAAAGAAATGAAAAACTGATTCCTATCTCTAATACATGAATTGTATATCTCTCTAGGAGAGGGTTGGGAGGAAAGAAACGAGGATCCAGAAACTTTTACCCAGGTATTCAAACCATTCAAACAATATCAGTAGTTTCTTTCCAATCCATTAAAGGGACTGTAAGCGTAATTTTAAATGTCCTTTCATACAAAAATTTACTGTACCTTTGAACTCCCCGCAACCTAATCTATCAAAAACACACCGAAAGCTTGGCTCTGTGGACGAGTTTGAAACCTTATCTATCAAAGATGTGGAGGCTAACGTCCTTTTTCTGACTGGAAAAGTGTTTATTTTTGCGAATTTTTACATTGGTTCTTGTAGGCAAGAAATGCGCTTGGCACTTTGGCAGAGATACCACGAATGAAAAAATTAAGAAATGAAAAACATAAATTTCTCATTCATACTTGATCAGACAAAGCTTTTAAGGACACCAAAATAAATCGAACGAACAATGTTAAAGTAATGCGGAATTATTAGATCGACTTGGCGACCTTGTAACTCCTCTGGTTAGATCTTACAGTTACCCCAGCAGGGATTAAAGCAAGCTTTTCTGGTTGGATATTTTTTGTTAATTATGCTAGGAGAGCCGTTCAGGTTTTAATCTAATTAAAATGAAATCTACCTTTGTAAAGTGTCTCAAGTGCAGAACATTTGCCTTAGTTATCTTCTCACCTTGACCATGAAATTCTGTAACAAAACTTATACCGAGTCCGGACAAAAGACGACATTTATAATATTCTATGTTTAGGAGTATTGGCGTGACGAGTGGAATATTCCCACTGTATCAGAACGACGGACTCTCCTTCAACCCTTCTCAATACAGATTCAAAGTGTTGAGAGTTTAAACATTAAACGTGAACCTACAGAATCATCCACTGGAGAAATGTCGGATTCGGGTCCTTCGGCCAAAAAGCCGAAACTTATGAAGCGTGGCCGGAAGCGGAAGCCGGCGGAAGAAGTGGCTGACGATGGGGACGAAGAAGGTAATGAAACTTCTTGTTGGATGTTTCAGCGAATTTATTACAAATTTCATGTTTCTTTTAAAAATTTTCTTTCAACGTTTAATTTTTTAGGCTTTATAGGTGCGAATACAGCTAAAATGCCCCTGATCGAATCTTATTCTTCTATCCCCGCGGACCCCCTGGTCCATGAAATGTCTGCTAGGCCCCTGGAGATGTCTCCGTTTGAAAAAACTCAAAGTTTCATGTGCTCCTTCTGTCCTAAGCGTTCACAGTGCTTAGAAAGACTGAGGTAAATAATATCTTGTAAAAAAAATACTCCCCTTTCATAATCATTTTACCATTTTGAAACTGGGCGAAAAATAAATTATGTTTTGGGTTATATGTTAAAAAAAATGGGTAACGCCCTGCCGGACGATTTCCAATTTGAAGATNTTATTTTTCAGAATTAATATTTTTGATATATTAAATTAAACTTTTTGATATATCACTTCAAATAATTTTCAGAAAGAGGGGAAGGGGATGATTTTTCTAGAAATTATACACCCCTGTTTTTCCCCAACTTTATTTTAAAAGAAATATTGCGAATATTTATAAACTTAATATTTAGGAAACACCATGAAGAATCTCACTCTAAACTTGGATTTGAATACAGAGAACTTTCCCGGGACCAAGTTGTACACATTATTACCAGGCAGCTCAGCTTTATCAAATCTATCTATGCAACTTTTTATTTATGCAACCATTATTTTATTAAAGGGACCGTTCACTTATTTGGGCAACTTGATGGTAAACTGAATAGCCTATTAGCTATTCATTGGTATTAGCCTTACTTTTTAAAGATAACTTAAATTAGCAACCGTGGCAAATAAAAACATCTTCAAATTAATAGCAAAAAGAAGAACTTTTTTGGAATTTTTTTTGGTAAAAGAATTATTTCAAGGCTCTACTCATTCTAACATCACTGAAGGGAACTGGAAGGGGGGTGTGTTTTTTATGTTCAATTGAACTTAAAATAAATAAGCTGAATGTTTGCACAGTGATCAAACCAACTACGGGGCTGCTTTTGAATACAAGTGTTTCTACTGCCAGGTAAATTATTGTATGGGTTTATATTCTTTAGAATTCCTCCCCCCCCCCTTGAACTATTTTCGTTAGAGCTGAGGTCAGATAAATAAATAAAGAAAAGTATTTAACTATGAACTTCTAGCTTAATTTTAAAAGAAATCTTTTTGCTTCTATTAATACTGAACAAATCTGCAAGATAAAACATTGAAAATAAATGAAAATATTTTTAATGAAAATAATATTTCAGGAGACTGGAGATATTCAGCATCTCAGGGTTCATACAGACACACAACACAGCGGACAAACATTTAGGGTTACAAAATGTCAGAATAAGGTAATATTTTAGAGTTTAAAGCGTCTTATGTCCGATTCAAGTGATTTGGAAATGAAAGGTCACTTGAAATTACGTCGAAACTCCCTTTATCATATTGTTCCTTGTGTTTCTATATTGTACATTGTAAACTGTGTAGAGTGTGATGTAGACTGCAGTTTGTATATTGTAGTGTAGAGTTTAGTGTGTTTAGTGCTGAGTATAGAGTGTATACTGTATAGTGTAGTTTAGAGTTTAGCCTATTCAGTGCTGAGTATAGAATGTATACTGTATAGTGTAGTGTAGAGTTTAGCCTGTTCAGTGCTGAATATAGAGTGTATACTGTATAGTGTAGTTTAGAGTTTAGCCTGTTCAGTGCTGAGTATAGAGTGTATACTGTATAGTGTAGTTTAGAGTTTAGCCTGTTCAGTGCTGAGTATAGAGTGTATACTGTATAGTGTAGTTTAGAGGTTAGCCTGTTCAGTGCTGAGTATAGAGTGTATACTGTATAGTGTAGTGTAGTAGTTTAGCATGTTCAGTGCTGAGTATAGAGTGTATACTGTATAGTGTAGTGTAGTAGTTTAGCGTGTTCAGTGCTGAGTATAGAGTGTATACTGTATATTGTAATGTAGAGTTTAGCCTGTTTAGTGCTGAGTATAGAGTGTATACAGTATAGTGTAGTTTAGAGTTTAGCTTGTTCAGTGCTGAGTATAGAGTGTATACTGTATAGTGTAGTGTAGTAGTTTAGCATGTTCAGTGCTGAGAATAGAGTGTATAGTGTATAGTGTAGAGTGTAGAGTGTAGAGTGTAGAGTGTAGAGTGTAGAGTGTAGAGTGTAGAGTGTAGAGTGTAGAGTGTAGAGTGTAGAGTGTAATAGAGTCTAGAGTCTAGAGTCTAGAGTCTAGAGTCTAGAGTCTAGAGTCTAGAGTGCAGAGTGCAGAGTGCAGAGTGCAGAGTCTAGAGTCTAGAGTTAAGTTTGTCGATTGTTGATAAGTATGATTACTACAATGTTATCCCATATCGGGGGGCTTTCAGATTTAACCTATTAATTCTTTTTATTACTAGGGAGTGTCTGGGTATCTTGAATGCACACTGTGTGGACATCTAAGCCCCGGATTCGAAAAATCAAAACAAAAAGCACATTTCCATGAAGAGCATCCGTTCCAGGTAAAATAGTTCTCTTTTTTATCTTCCCCTTTTTCACCCCCCCCCCCCTCTTCTAATATAATCATCCCACATTTCCTCACTCTCATTTTTTTTTTATTTTGATTAATTTATTTTATTGAATAAAAACCTTTGTATAGACTGAAGTGACCTGCAGTAAGTATATGTTCAAGCATAAGCTAGGCCCAGATGCATTTACAAGCAGTCAACAAGCTTTTAAGGTTAGTTTACTTAAAGCTGGTGTAACTAGAATTAGAATAGAATCATCTCAATCTCAAGTTGTTTAATACTTGGAAGTGTACTGATTGATTAATTGTCGACAGAGTGATTATTGTTTGATTGACTGATCATATTTGTCAGATTGATTTGATGAATTTTTTAATTTTAAAATTGATTAATTGATTAACTTGATTTCCTTGACGTGGAAGGGAGGGCGTTCTTTTGCCGGAAGTTTCATGCTACATTGATTGATTGATCGTCGAATAGTTTTGATTGGTCGATTGATCATTGATGTCAGTGATGTGGATTGTTTGGTAAATTGATTGATTGATAATTGATTGATTGATTGATTGGTTGATTGATTGATTGATTGATGTATGTGACTTAGAAGGGATAGAATTAACGTGCCCCATTGTTATTGATAAATCTGATGTCTGTGACGTGGAAGGGGCATAGTTCACGTGTCCGAAGGTACAAAGTTCACGTGTCTGAAGGTTGATGATTGATTGATTTATTCTAGATTTAAGTTCACGTGCCCCAAGGCTGATGACTGATTAATTGATCGATTGATCGATTGATTAGTTTGATGTTGGTGACGTGGAAGAGATATAGTTCACTTGTCGGAAAGTTGTTGAATGTTTGATTATTTGATTTTTTGATTGAGTGCTTGATTGATTGATTTATTAATTCATTTATTGATGAATTGATTAGTTTGATGTCCGCGACGTGGAAGGCAAAGAGTTCATGTGCCCGAAGGTTGATGATTGATTGATTAATTAATGATTGATTAATGATTTATTTATGATTTATTCATGATTGATTAGTTTAATGAAAATTTGATTAATTGATTGGTTGCTTAGTTTGATGTCCGTGACGTGGAAGGTATGGAGTTCACATGCCCGAAGGTTGATGAATGTTCCTTCTCCACTAAATCTCTCTCTCAGATGAATAATCATCTCAGGAAACACACGAGGTTGGCATCTTTTATTTATTTTATTTTAAGCTTTAATAAAAATTACAGGTCTTTTGGTGCGTTTATGTTTTATAGGTTTAATTTTAAACCTAACCAAGAATAAATTTAACTTTGTTTCTAAGTAAAATTATTTGAATCCCATTTTTAAAATATTTATAATCATGTTTATTGTTCAGTATTCATCTAGACCTGTAAACTCTTAAACATTTACTCCAAATTTTGCATCTTTGAACTACCTATGGACTATTTGGCAGAAAACTCCTATCTAAGCTAATTTGGGTGAGAGGGGGGATGGGGATGGGGATGGGTTGAGAAAGGATCAATTGCATATTTACAATTTGTTATGTTATGTGTCTAGAACCTATAAATGTGGACATTGTGGTAAGACTCTGCCTGATAGTTCAGAGTTCCACCGGCATTCAGCTCTTTCACACGGAGATAAGATACCTGATCTTGTCAAGGACCCAGAGGTAAATATATTCAGCTCTTTCACACGGAGATAAGATACTTGATCTTGTCAAGGACCCAGGAGATAAGATACCTGATCTTGTCAAGGACCCAGAGGTAAATATTCAGCTCTTTCACATGGAGATAAGATACCTGATCTTGTCAAGGAGCCAGAGGTAATTATGGACATTGGACAAACTGGTATTGAATGGATTGGTTTATAATTATTGTCGTCTTTATTGGTCTTTTAAAGGAAGTGTTCGCGAAAAATGAAAGGGGGTATGGACTTAATGCGAGAAAAAAGTGCTTTTGATCGCTACTAATCTTACTTCTATCTATTGCGTCTATAAGGAGAAAATTTTTACTTTTGATTAATTATTCTATTATTCATTAAAAGGAAACTGGTCAATGGAGATCCATTGGCAAGCTATCCCAAGAAATCATTATTGTCTAAAATTCTAGAATCAATAACTCTTTAAACATACGGAGGATTGTAATGTAATTTCAACATTATTTGCAAGTTTTTCCATTTTCTGAATAGTTCTTACCTTTTACCCTAAAATCATTTATTTTTTTATAATCTGTTAAAAAAAATCTTTGAACATACTGGGGATTAAAGTAATTTAATTGTAATAGTTGAACCCGAGAAGATTGATTTTTGTAAATAAGAGCCTGTCAAAAAGAAGAAGTTTTCATAAAAAAGTAAAAGGGGTTCGTTAAAGTGAACAGATGGGTCAATCTGCTAAATATCCACGAGATGATTTAAAGAATGATCATTGTAAGAGGATTAGAAGATATACATATAACCCTTAATAAAGTATGGCTCAATGCTAGGCTGAAGCTGAGTATGAGGCTCTGAAAGGTATCCTGGAGTACGGTATACAGAGACACCTAGAGAAGAAGAAGCAGAAGGTGGCAGATCTTCTAAACCAGACTACTACATTACCTAGGTTGGTTGGTTGGTTGGTTGGTTGGTTGGTTGGTTGGTTGGTTGGTTGGTTGGTTGGTTGGTTGGTTGGTTGGTTGGTTGGTTGGTTGGTTGGTTGGTTGGTTGGTTGGTTGGTTGGTTGGTTGGTTGGTTGGTTGGTTGGTTGGTTGGTTGGTCGGTCGGTCGGTCGGTCGGTCGGTTAGTTGATTGGTCTGTTAATTGGTCAATTGATTGATTGATTAATCAATTTTTTAATTGGTTTATTGATTAAGTGATTGAGTGATTGAGTGATTGATGTACGTTGATTGTTGATGTATATTGATGTACATTGTATAAGTTGACTGTTAGGAAGAGTATGGGTCTAGGCATCAAGGCTGGACTAGTAGATGATTTGTTGATTGATCTTTATTATTGATGGATTGATTGATTGATGTATATTGTATAGGTTGACTGCAAGGAAGAGTATGGGTCCAGGTAGTAAGGCTGGACCAGGAGATGTGTGCAGAAATATTGCCAGGAAATCAACAGGAGCTCAGGTTTAATTAATCATACAATATCTATCAAAACTATCTAGCTTTCTCCTTATCTATCTATCTGATATATTTCATTTATCTATAATCTACATATATCTATTTGTATCCTATCTACATTATGTATTTTTATCTGTATTTGCCTGTATTTGTTTATATCTTTTTGTTTATGTTTCTATCTATCTATCTATCCTAGGCTAAGTATTGGAAAGAAACAAGATTAAAAGACCCCTACTCATTCTATCTTGTTCCACAGCAACCAATATATCGAAAGCAAGTTAACACGAAAATGGCGATAGGTAAAAATATATTTTACATACAGTTAGAATCAGAAAACTGTAGAATAGGAAGACACCATTAATGCATGATACATTAGTGTCTTTGATGTTGTAAAAAAGAAAATAGTTTGATGAGTGACTTATAAAATCACTTAGCTTGGGAAATGAATCTGTATCATGTACAGTGTACACTGTATAGTGTACACAGTACACTGTACTATGTTCAATGTACACACTAAACAATTGCTGTGTCAATGTTTATTGGACTATTTAAAAACTTAACTAGAGTCTAAAGTTTAAGTTTAAGTGTTTAATTCAAACAAATGCCTCTAGTGTTTCTGCAAGTCACTCAAGTAGATAAACTACAATTAAAAATACTCAATTTTTACAAAGAAAATTATGGATATTTCCATTGTGAATAGGACATGCCACTCCAACAATGGAGGGCCTCTTAAAGTTAAGTGTACAATTCCTTTAACCTTTAATATCTCAGGTGGAGGGACTGAGATTACGCTTGACGTTGAGAAGATGTCTAAGATAGTAAACCTTGACGCCGTTCTTGTTCTCAACGATTGCGTCAAAGTCAGTTTGAACAGAGAAGAGCTTGATCTCTGAGAGAGGTGTTAAACGCAGAAAATGCGTCATAATTTAGATTCTTTCATTGTCAGTTTTAGTTGGAGAAGGTTAGATCTCAAATACAGACTGAGTCAAAAAAGTGCCTTTTTTAAAGCAACATTTTTAGCATATGGTAATTTTACAATGTTTCGGAATATTGTTTTAATTTTTTTAGCTCACATGGTACCACAAAAAATCCCCAAAACTTTTTTCTTCTCAAACATAGAAGTGTAGAAAAGAGAAATTGTGTTAATGAAAAAATTTTATTTTATCCTAAAATTTCATAAAAATCTAACTTATGGAAATGTAAAATAATTATAGGAAAACAAATTTTTGAAAAATGAAAAAAATATTCCGAAATATTGCTTAAATACAATGCACAAGAAATTCAGCGAAAAAATATTGGTTTAAAAAAGACGACGCGAATCGCAATTTTTTTTCTCACCCTGTAGACTATTGATGCACAAATTTCGTTTACAATCCAGTCTGTTTGATTTGTGTTAATCAAGGGTTTACATTTTTTCTTGAACAATCATCAATTATAATTAAAATGTATTATGTTTTTTATCTCAGAATTTATTGGAGGGAAATCAAGTTTTGAGTTACACGAGTTGAAAGTTGATGAGATGCATAAAGATGATATGAGTGTAAACCCATGATTCAAATTATGCTTAAAGGTCTTGAAATTTTCAGATCATACAACACTTGTGAACTTGACAGTTTACATTGTATGCTAACGCGTCAAAAAATTCAGAGTACATTTACAGTACACAACATTTTTATATCTTTATTACACTGTACTGGATGCAGTACAGTGTACACTGTACAGTTTGGTGTAAATGTATGCAAATAGGAAACACAAGTGCTATTGTGCCTCTTCAGCTGATTGAAAACAAGTTAAATGTTCTGCTAGTAAAATACCAGTAAACCAACGTGTGATAATTGTTTAAAAATTTTCGTAATTGATAATACAATGTTTGTAGCAAAGGATGCCTTTGGTTTGTAGGATTAGGAATGAATAATAGAATTTCTAAATGACAGAGAAAGAGATTTTAATTGTATGAAAACATAACAAATTTTGAGATAAATTTGTCAACACTTACTTTTAACTCTATATTGTGTCCAATGTCCAGAGACAAAAATGTAAAATTTTTCTCTAATTTATAAAATTATTCGAATTATTTTTTATTTTTTGGTTATTTGTGCAGCAAATTATTTACGCATATGTAGGATTATGCCAACCAATAATTACAATGATTATTAAATTATAAAACAACGAAATATATATATATGTTTCGTACAGCCGGCCAAACGGCTATTGGGCTGAAATTTTTTGTGGACACTCATGGGTGGCCCGCGGGTGTTATATGCCAAAAACAATCGAAATTTTTTTTCTCCAATTTTTTTTAAGTTATTTTTTCCACGGGCAATGCCGGGCCCTTCAGCTAGTGATAATTAAGTGAATAATTTCAAAGTTTCTCAATGCAGTAAAGTTCGAAATTTGTTTCTTGGAAAGTTGAGTCTTTAATCATGATTTGTCTATTCATATACATACTTCAAGCAACGTTTTATTTTGTATTTACTAAAGCATTGTCACCATTAATTGATCTTAAAATCCATTATAATTGTGTATTTCGTGCATTTGGGGTTCATTAAGTTATTAAATAATTATTTTCAAAAAAATCTTATCTTACTGTTATCGGAAAACGTTCTTATCTCACCTTAATTTCACCACTTTGCGTACATTCAATTATAAGCGTTAAATACATGTGAAAATAAAATTGGGAGTTTTTTGTAACATTTGGTGGATTTATGGTTTTACGGGCTGGTTTCTTGCAAGGTTTTTGTATAGCGAGAGAGGATTAACTAATGCGTTGGTTAATGTTGATATCGGAGTGATAAGTTTGTTAGTAGTTGATGGAGTTGATCCAAACCTAGTAATATTTCTCCATATTCATAATATATTAAAATTAAATAGGTAACATATTCCCAGCCATCTAACTATTTATCTATTATGACTTATAGCACGAATGCTACAAGTAACCACCCCTCCTGGCAACTCTCTTGCCTTCTTCCGGAGTGCTTGGGTCACAGAGTTAGCATGACATATGCATTGTGCTATGATACTGTTACATAAAATCGTTCATATATGAGAGAAAGATGAATTGATCAATTTTCAGACAAAATGGAATTTTCAACCCTTGAAGAGCTTTTGGTGAAGCTCGTGTGTTCTGTTGAATTTCCAGTCAATCAATCAAATTCAGAGACTGGTGATCAATTAAATGTTGGATCAATTAAGCTAACTGGTCTTGATCACAGATTGGGTAAATTCATTATCCATCAAATGGTTTAAAGTAAACAGATATGTGCATGATAAGTTTATTATTTTTTTATTATTAAATTGATTTCTGTCTTGTGTTCAAAAACATTTTTGATATTGTGACAACACGAAACTTTAAAGTTGCAGCCATTTTAAGAAAGAACATATTTTATAATTAATATTTTCAAACGTGCGGCGATTTATATGCATTTTTATTACACTTGGCTTTTTGGGCGCTTCGCGCCCCCTTTCCTATTAACAATCTTAGTTTTTAACTGTTTCACTGAATGTGTCCATTTTTAATTATTCTTTTTTCAATTTAAATTGGTGCATTTTCAAAATTATATTTATTTAGACATTTTTTCTGGGAAAATCGGTTTAATTTTGACGGTTTATTAACCTTCCCTGGGGTCATGTGATTTGCCATTACAAAATTGGGCCCGATCGGTTCAGCCGTTACGGTCTAATTGGATACGAACAAAGAGACAGCAAAGTATATATTTATACGGTTGTAGGCAATAATATCAATATAATGATGACTACTTTTTATTGAAGTTCTTATTTTTATTGATAAAATAACTTCTTAGCGGGTTTTCTTTAACAATCAAGTGAAAATAAACAAAGAGTACAAATCGTAAGACCTCACTTCATTATTATTTAGTATAGTCACTTCAATTTTGGTGTGTGGGTGTAGGACATCCCTAAAAGCCTGATATGATTTGATTTGATTTGTTAACAAGGTTTTTTTTGAATTACAAGTTTACAAGTAATTAAAGATAAGCTTTTTTTAATGGACAAATGACAGTCTCTCTTTGTTTCCATTTTTTATATCCATGCTGTTTAAAGCTTGGATAAATCAAAATTGAACCCGAAAGTCGTCTTCATTGTATTTATGTAATCGCCTACCACTGTATATTCATAATTTACTTAAAAGACGTAAGAAACAAAAACATTTAAAGATACTTTGTATGCTTACGATTATTGTGATAAACCATTTTTGCAAAAGCAATAGTAATAATCGAGAATTGTACCTCAATTGTACCTACGGAGAAGGAAGTGTTTTTTGGAGAACAGTATTAATCTAATTAGTCCGATTTACAACGGTGACCTTGAAACTTGTATTTGAGTAACCATCTTCATTGTCCCAGCATTATAAATGTATACCTCACTTTTTACAAAGAAACCACAACTGAAAATTAGTAATTTTTGGTTCACACTTGTATGCCGATTCCATTAGCACCTGATCCAATCAAGGTTCAGTTATGTGTTTGTTGTCTATTCTGAACCAATAGAAATAGTATGGCGGTAATATCTATCTCATTATCAAATTAGAAATATAAATCCTTTCATCGGCGCTAACAGTAAATGGAAATATTTTATTCTACTGAAACTGATGTGGGTTAGAGAAATATTCCGTTTTTATTTACAAAGGTTGAAAGGGTACTGTTGTAAATCAAACATGCCACACTATGAGTAAAGGATTTTACATAACTCTGAAGGATAAGGTTTAAGGAAATTACTTTTAGATAGAGATAAAAATAAGCAATTTTTAGGGGGAGGAAGTGATCAACTGAAAGCTGAGATGCTCTTGGAAAATGGAGAAATCAAGAGGAATTAATCAATTAATTAAACAAAATGACTCATCAATGCATATTTCTGAACGTGAAGATTAAATGAATTTATCAAATGTTAAAAGTAAATCAATTAATCAAATAATATGAATAAATCAATTAACCAAGCAATAGGAAGAAATTAATTATGAATTTGTCTGGTAATAAGAGTAAATTAATTAATTAAACAATAAGAAGATATTAATTATGAATTTGTTTAGTAATAAGAGTAAATTAATTAATTAAACAATAAGAAGAAATTAATTATGAATTTGTTTAGTTATAAAAGTAAATTAATTAATTAAACAAGAAGATATTAATTATGAATTTGTCTAGTAATAAGAGTAAATTAAAAAATCAAAAAATAAATGATAATCATAAAACTTTAGAATGGGAAGACGACATGAAAGCAATACTGAAGTGGCATCTGATGTTGTTATTATAAAGAAAATAGCTTTACAAGTAAGTTATTTAATCACTTATTAAGTGAAATGAGTCTGTTTACACTGCACAATTGCTGTGTCCCATGCTTATTTGACTATTTAAAGTTATAACTTGTGTCTAAAGTCGTCTTCCTATTTTAGAGTTTTCTGGTTATCGCTGTAGTAAATCCGTTTATCAATAAAATAATCAATCTATCATTAAATAAAAGACAATCAATTAACCGAACAACAAAAGTAAATGAAAGAAAAAATAAGATTAAAATTATCAGCTTAAGAGCCAGATATTCCTGGGTTTTTATTCTTTTAAAATTTGTCGTTATTTACATTGTACAAAAAATGATGTAACTAAAAAAAGATAGTTCTTTTAACATATAATAAACTAACTAAAAGAAAAAATTAAATATTTTATGCTTTGGACAATTTCACGACTAGTTTTTGCCATTAAAAAAATTGTTTTTTGTCAGATTGTTTTTGAAGATTAAGAAGAAGGGCAGCTGGTTGGAGGATTTCGAAAAGTAAACAAATATTTAATTCTAAATTTTTTATTTGAAAAATCATCTCTGTTGTCCCTTTTCTGGCTCTCATTGGAACTACCTATTTGTATTCATTTCGATATTTGTTTTTGTTAGAATAATGTTTTAACTTGTTTTTACAAATGTTTTATGAGAAATTTCTTGTGTTGTAATTTAATTCTTACATTTACTAAACTTTAGGCCTAATATCAAGTACCTTTCTATTTACAGAGTGGCATGTTTTAATCACAATGGTACCCT